AAAGATTGTATGTTGTCCATTCCCAATAACTTATAAGAAGCCTTGCACTGTAATCAAGTGCTCTGTGCTTATTTGAATTATTTTTCTCAGGCCTGGGGTTGTGGCTCAGTGGTAGAGCACTCACTTAGCAGGTGCGAGGCCCTGGGTTCGATCCTCAGCACCACATAAAAAAAAAGTAACAAATAAATGAATTATTTTTCTCAGTCATAAATGCATCACAAGGTGCTTCACAGTGTTAGTATTATGAAATACACAGATTTCAGCTGTGTGTGTTCCCAGCATTGGCTGGAGGCCCGAGAGCTGTCTGCCAATAGCCATTGTCCTTCCCTGATGGGCCATACAATCAAAAACGTCACGTGCTCTTACAAAAAACTCCCTGGGATTGTTAATTACTTTTTTCACAGTTTGGATATTAAATACATACACAAAGTTAAGTGGTTATTTAGGGACATAACTTCTTCTTATTCAGAAACTTTCCATGTCATATTTGTGTGACGTAATTTTTATTGGCTAAAGGGATAAGAAGGGCAATATAGTTTGCTTTCTCATGTCTCAAAAGAAGTCCATTTTTAGACCACTTAAGGCTATTTTTAGACCATTTTAAACCAGTAAAAAAAAAAACCTTCACGAAAGTATTAGATTTGCTTATTTCATTACCTCAGGTGAGACTTATAATGCCCTAGACGGCTCATAACTGCCTGCTGAACTTGCCTCTCTAAAAGCCTGTCTGGGAAAGGCCACCCTTCCCATCCCCCACACGAATCTACTTGATTACAGACTTTTTAAGGAAGACTTTGTACTGGTGTCCATAYTAACCTCATTTCAGATGCTTGACTTCTATCAGGTGACAGCTTGATTCCTCTGGGGGGCTTTTCAAGAATACATGCTAATGAGATCTGTTGTAAAGGTGGTTTCTGTTGTTGCTAGTTTATGWCTAATTGGAAACAAATGAAAAAAAACAAAGGGTTTTTGTTTTCAACCTGAAAGCTGCAATAATAAGGGCCTTGAGCAGCAGTCAGCAGCTGCTGTCAGCAGTGCCCATAAAAGGCCATTTCACCTGGATTTCTGTTAGGCAGGTCTGTGGCAAAGGAAGCTGTGTTGGCTGGCATCATCTATTCCCTGTGTAAAGCTTCCTCTTAAGACTTTGGGCTAGCAAAGTACATAAACCCTCTAAGGTAATAGAAGTATTACCCATCTATTTTGCCACTCCATTTATTATCCAATTATTTAAATAATTAACACCTGAAATTGACGTCTGTGGGTTGGCATGTGAACTAGCAGGGGAATTTTAAGTAACTAGACTTGTTTTGGTATCTCCCGGTCAGTGGTCTTGCTGCACCTGGCCTAAGTGYATCTGGTATGTCCTGGGTTCATCTTCATTGCTAAAGCAGTGTGTGCACTTATCTCTCCAGCAGTGTTTCTCATCATAGAGGTTCATCTGTAGAACCAGATCATGACTTTTAAATTAAAGTTTTGTAAGGAACTAAATAGGAAATTTCCAAGTTCTTCTGTATTTTGGTTAGGATTTTTACCAGTTAGGCCCATGGATTTACATTGATTTAGTGTGTTTCAACTTGAATGCTTTTTGTTTGTTTTTTGAGGCGGGGGGTGGGGGGGTGTCTGGCTTTTTGGCTTTTTTTGGGGGGGGGGGCTTTTAAGGTTGTCACCTTTTGGGACACCATTTGACCTGTTTCCTCATTTGATTTTTGAACCCTTCTTGCTCTTAAATATTKCTGATTCTGTCATCTGTGTCATCTCTGAGTCAGCGTCAATTGGTTTTTACCTTGTTATTTTCCCACTTTTTTCATGCTTGGTAATTTTTTACTAGATGGCAGAATTCAGGCCCTTTGGGGCTTGAAGAGTAAAATCTTTTGTCATTCTGTTTAAAATGTGTCTGTGCATAGGAAAGAGATATTTGCTTCCTGTTCCCCTTTCTAACACAGTTGGCACGTGGTTGTTAGATATTTGGTGAATGAGAAATGTCTGAAAAAGACTTTGTTATTGTAATCATGTAGAAAGTGATATTAAAAACAAAACAAAACAAACAAACAAATAAAAACCTCAACCTTCTCTAAACAGCCTTCTTAGTGAACGGTGAATGGTAACTTTCTTTCTGTTCATTTTCCTTGTGTACCCTTGGGGAAAGTCTGGGCCTAGAAGTTTGCAGCCTTTTAAAAGTGGATAATCTTTACCTTTCCTTTTCAGTAAGTTCTTACCTCACCTAAGTTGCAGGCCAGTTTTAATTTTCCCACTGTCCCAGAACRTCCTTGACAGCTGACTTATGAACAAGTGTCCTTGATGGGACCCAGCATTACATTACATTACATCTGATTGTGTCCTTTTAAATTTCCTTTTTTTCAAAACTAGCACAATGCCTACTTTTAAATTCTGACTTAGCCTGTTCTTTAGAATTCCTGTCTGCTGGATTTGTCTGGTTGTTTCTTTGTGGTATTAAGTTGTTCCTTTATCCCCRTTATTTTCTACAAGTTGTAAATTATATCTATGGGCTTAATGGACTCAATTGGACATTTTAGGTAAGAATGTAACACAGGTCATGTTGCACATTTCACATTCTCTCAGCSGCTGTGGTTGATCAGAGCAAACCCTGGTTCAGGTCGGTGCCAGTCTTTTGCCTCTGTCCGTGCTTTCTCCTCTTGCCAGTAAGCTGTCTGGTGTGACTTAGCACCGTTAGCCCCTCACCTCCTAGCTCCCTCCATGTGCAGCCCTTGCCTGAAGCAGTGCTGTTGTTGTTTCTGGGGTGCCGGATTGGCTTGCCACTGTTTCCCTCCATCAGCCGGAGCCAGGCAGCTACCRTGTTAGAAATTGAGGGTAAATGTAGAATGCTTTCTCTTTAATTATCAGTTTTCAGAGTTAGGTGTTGTTTCAAGTTTGCTCAGACTAGTGATTGAGTTTTCCTTTCTTCTGGTTTGTAGTACSGTGAGCCCAAGGATTTACATTGATTCAGTGTGCTTCAACATGAGTGTTTTGAAATTTGTTTTTTKGGKTTTTTTTKGGGGGGGGGTGCTTTTAAAGTTGTCACCACTTGGGAGTCCATTTTGCCTATTTCCTYTCCCCATATGATTTTTGAAAGCTTCTTGCTCTTAAATATTGCTGATTCTGTCATCTGTGTCATCACGAGTCGGCATCAACTGGTTTTTACTTTGTTATTGGTCATATTTTCCCACTTTCTCATGCTGGTCAGTTTTTATTACATGGCAGACATTGTGATTTTTACCTTGTAATATGGTGGATAATTTGGCATTCCCACAAATGTTTTTCAGCCTTGATGTGGTATAGACTTTAGTTACTTTGAAACTCTCCTTCTTTCCAGTTCTGTTTTTAAACTTCTACAAGTGGGACTAGAGTACATTCACTCTAGACATGTTTTTGCCCTTCTACTGAAGCACAGCCCTGTATTGCTGTGTCTGGTGCACTGTGAGGTCAGTTTCTGTACCAGCTGGAGGAACAGCCCTGTGAGGATTGTCCTCTGTTCTGACATGTGATTCTTTCCCTGATGGGGTAGTTTCTTCACATGAGGTGTTGGTCGGGTGTCAGCTTCAGATCTGGGGTGTCCTCRGCAGTGCTCTGCCTCAGATGCCAGTTCTGCTTCCCCAAGTGAGAGACCCCTGTGCTTTGTAGGTTCTCCATCCCTTACGTGTGACCTGGAAAATCTCTTCAGGCAGTAATCTAGGGCAGCTGTAGGGTTACTTTGTTATTTTTTGTGTCCCAAGAGTTCATTGCCTGATATCCAGCAATTTGAAAACAGTTTTCTGTTTGTCAATTTTATTAATTTTAGTTGGAATGTAAACTGGTCCATGTTACTCCATCTTGATTTTCTTTGTGCATAAATTGAATTCCAGATTTATGTTTAATTACATCTGTAAAATGAGAATAATGAGAGATACCTGGAAAAGTACATTCTCACAACACTGTAGACTTCACCTGCACTGACTCTCCACTGCATGGCTGTGGGGCTGGGATTTGAGGCCAGGAAGCTGCTCCACAGTTGTGCTCTTGACAACAGTGCTGCAGTCTGGCCGTTGGCCGGTGTTGTGGGGTCCRGTCAGTCACTCATCTCACAAAGCTGCTGCCCTGCAAGCCAGGGAAAACCTTGGCACACACACAGGATGTTTGCTCCTGTGTTCATGGAGTCCATCCTGCTCACAGCAGGGATTGGTAGGACCCACTGGTGCCTCTGTGTTAGCTTCGAGGTAACAAAGTGGCTTTGTTGATCCTGGCTGGTCTCTCACTTGTCTAGTATCTTTAAAAGCAAAATATTCAGAACCTTGGCATTTTGAAACCTTGRCTGTCCTTCCCTAGAGTTTGTTTTGGTGGCTGTGCGACATGCATGACTTTGGCTCCATTCCTTCTGTGCAGCTTTATTCTTCTCGTGCTTCAGTGATGCTGTATTATGATACCAGGCATCAGATTTGAGAAGGTAAACTGCACTGCTGTTGATTGGGGCCTTTGCATGTGCTGTTTGGAGTGAGTGGCACTGCCGCAACCYGGCTGCACGAGCCGCCAGCAACCCGGCTAGACACAGAAACACGAACCACTCAAGCGGGAAACAAAGCTTTATTTAAAAAGGCCGCCAGCAATCCCTGTGCGTCTTGCTAGCAAGCCTATCGACCCACGTGTCTCACTGGAACCGGGCGCTTGGACCTCCCTCGGAAGTTCCCTCCTACTATCCTTCCCCAACCAATGGGAACTCTCCCATTACATGAGTGACATGAGTAACCCGAGTCCCGTAACAGGCCGAGGTGAACAGCAGGAGTCCAATTTCCATATGAAATGTAAAGCTTAACATAATCATATCCTCAAGGGTTCACTGGCAGTCACCTAAACCAAAAGAGCCATGTATCAATACTTTTGCTGTGGCTTCTAGCATGGCACGCTAGATTGTTGTGGCTAATTTAGCCCTGCCACCCGTTTGCTGTTCCTGGGAAAGGCTTTGGTTTACTTCTTCTCACCTGTTCACTGAGCACCTTTTTTATTTCAAGGTGGATATTTTGGCTCAGATTGGTTGTGTTGAAGGTCTTAGCCAGTCACCACCCTCTTCGTCTTCTCCTTCTCCTTCTTCTTCCATTAATAAGGTAAATTCCAATTTGAATGCAAGAAGAAATAAACGTTTAATGACCTTTAAAGTCATCTTTTCCTCCCAAGCAAGGGAATAGTTTCAGGTTGTGTCCTAGGAAAGCTCTCCTGGCAGCCTAAAGCATGGACTGCTAAAGAATCCAGACCTTGGAGGCCTTTGAGCTGAGAAGGGTTTGTGGAGTTGTCCCGGGGGCAGTAGCGCTGAGGACAGTCAGGCAGGAAGAGCTTGGTTGGTACCATGCAGGGCCAAAAAGAAGAGTCTGAAAATGTCACTCTGCAGAAATGAGACAGGAGGGGAAGTTAGAAGAAAAGACTACAGAGGTTCCTGAGAGCTTGAGCCTCAGCCAGGAGACAGAGTGGGTTATTGTAAGAGCAGCCTGTGCAGTTGAGAAACCACAGAGATTATTGGGGTTGAGAACAAAGAAGTTACTGGCTGCAGGAGCCTTAAAGCAGATCCTTGTARCCCTTAAGTGCTTAGTGTCATCTCTTTATTTTAAAGTTGCTCTAGTAACATGACGTGTCATTGAAAACATTTGGAAATATAGCTGTCCGACCTTTTCCTTGGTAGTATAAATTGATAGTTGTACCATTCAGGTGAAGATTTGCTYGAAGACTGCTGGTCTTCGTTCTTTATATTTTAGACAAGCACCTTCTCTCATTAAGGTAACCTCTGCTAAATGTGTTCCACTGTAAGGTATCATGTTAAATGCTCTATATGCATTTTGTCATTTAATATCTTAACAAAACCCGGAAGAGGAAAATAATGTTGTTATACCCATTTTAGAAGCATGAATGCTAGGAGGGTGAAGCCAGCTGCCCACATTCACACAGCTAACCAGAGTGAAGCTGGGATCTAAACCTCTATGGGTTTTAGAACCCAAGTTTTAACCACTATACCCATGTGCAGTTTACTTGAATCAGATTCCACCAGTTTCATGATGTGATTTAAAATCCACCCAGTGGACTAATATTCTCCTAGTGCATTTTTTACCCATATTATATAAAGTCATGTGCCATATTGAAATGTTTTGGTCAGTGACAGATTACATATATGACTGTGGCCCTGTAAGAACATAATGAAGCTCAGAAAGCCCCCTCACCTAGTGATGTGGTTGCTGTCCTAATGATACCACTGGTTGCTGGTGTTGAGTTCTGCTCCCTCAAATGTTGAAGTTTGAACATTAGAGAAGCCCACCTAAGAAAGCATATAAAGCAGGGTTTATTTAAAATGTGGTAACATAGACTTCTCCCTGGAGGGAGAAGGGGGCCATAGCTGGTATCCTGGTATCCTCCAGAAGCGAGACATTCTGCCCTTTTTATATGTCCTAGGCTTCTTTTGTTCTGCCCTCTTCCCCTTCTCTCTCTCCTTCCTGTATACATGACTAGGCCCAGAAAATGCTCCGGTGGGATGGCCAAAAGGTGGGGAACAGGTAGGCTAATGGGGGAAAGGCAGGATGATGCAACCAAGGACACTTAACAACCCTTACCCCTCCTTGTAGGGAGGGGCAATTCTTGGGACTGGTTACCTTAGCAACAGGTTGGAGAAGCGGCAGGTTCTTGATAAGGGTGGAGGAAAGGCTCTGAAGGAATTAACATTCAATCCTTCAGGGAACAGTCTCCAGCTTCCCAGACTCACTCAAAATTGGCCTCCTTGATCTGACCTGACTTCGATTTACCTTCATCTATGCTGATTGCCTGTCTAATTCTGGCTTCACTAACATGATAGTTCAGTGCTTTATGCAGGTGTCTTTAGTGATGCTCTTGTAAGACCCCCACACTGCTAATCCTGTAAAAGTGGTACATGCATTTATGTACAGCACATTCTAYTCACTAATGATAATAAAGGGCCTGTTACCAGTTCTGTATTTACCATGCTATACTGTTTATCCTATTCTTTTAGAGTGTATTCTTTTATTTATTTAATTTTCCGATCTTCATTGAAACAGTCTGCTGTGTTACACCAGCAATAGCCTCTTACATACTGTGTTGCAGCGTCTCTGATTGAATCATTCTGTTGAACTTGATTTAATCTCAGGTTGTTTGTTTCATTGTGGCCCTAGAAGCACTAGGCGATACCACATGTGCTATAYAACCTCCGTGTATAATGGGCTGTACCATCTGGACATGTCCTGGGTAGTGTTTGTTTAACAAATACTTAATTTACTGAGCACTTACTGCATGTCAGGCACTGAGTTCATAGGCACCAGGAGATGGCAGGTGACTCCAGGGAACACAGCCCTTCCCTGTATCCCCTGTGTATCTTCTCTCCAAGCTCAGAAGACAGTTATTGTCCATGCAAATTTTGTTTGTTGACTTTTCCAACATTTTGTTAAAATCTTAAGCACAGAAAAGGTAAGTGAATTTCATAGTAAATAATCACATACCCACCTTCTAGATTTACCTCMACCCATCTATGCCTGCTTCTTCCAACTTTTCTACAGTATCTGAGATAGCTTTCATAACTCCGAAGGTATGATTTTTAAGCCCATGGTGGTGTCATTTCTAAAAATAAATTTTTCCGTCATTTGCTAAAAATCACCTATTCTGTGATCAATCACAGCAAGTTATTTTCTTTCTCTCCCCCCACCCATCCCTGCCTTGGCCCTGGGGATTGAACTCCAGGGTTTCTTTACMACTGAGCTGAACCCCCAACCCTTTTTATTTTAAGATAGGGTCTTGCTAAGTTGCCATGGRTAACCTTGAATGTGTGATCCTTCTGCCTCAGCCTCTCGAAGCACTGGATTTACAGAAATGTGCCACTGTGCCTGGCTAGCAAGTCATGTTCTTAGAAAAGACTTAAGTAGTATACATAAGGAAAATTTGATCTCCCCCTCTGTGAAATAGCAATAATGTTATAAAGGTTAGATCTCTGACAAAATGTAGTATTATTTCATCTACACTATCAAGAACTCACATTAAGTCCTTGCCTCTATGAAAGATAGCAGTATCAAAGCAGACTCTCTTATGTCAGACCCTAACAAAATGGAGCTGGGAGGACACGTAGGGCCCTCTCGCAAGTGTGCCCATAACAGAYGATGCAAGATTCTTCAGACTTGAAGCATCCAGTATTCCAGAGAAGCCGCTTGTGCAAGGACACTGGRCTATCAGAGGCTGTCTCCACCGATACACTAATGCCAACTCCTGCAGAAAGCCCAGCAACCACTTGTCTTTGTTTTAAAASAGCTTACATGGACTTCTGTTTTCGTTTAAGAGCTTTCCTCTGCCCATCCTCTTCAGCTGTGCCGAAAGCCCCCTGGAGCACACACAGCTGGATTCCCATTCTTTGCTCTTCCTAAATAATTTCCTTTAATTTTTTTAAGAGTGGATCTGGGTTTCTGTTACTCAACTTAAGTTATATCACTCCATGCAAGGTATTTTGCAAGTATTTTGGAAAATATTTTCTAAATAAGACARGACTTCTGTGAGCCTTATGACTGAGTGGTGGGGCTGACCAACTAAYAGCAAGTAACTGTAACAGAAGGCTGACTTTACCAGAATGTGACTGAATGAATGTCACCAGGTAGGCTCTGGGAAGGATGGATCTCTCTGGATAGACCTTGACATGTAGGAAGAGGAGGGAATCAGGACAGAAAAAGTATAGCATGAGAAAAGGCAAGAGATGTAGAAGAGTCTGGGGAAAATGTGAGGTTTGAAAMAAGAGTAAAGATTTGTGATGGATATTGAAAATAGAGGATGGATTGGAATGAAAGGACCAGGCCRCCAAAATTTTTTGATTTGTCAATGGAATAAGGAGCTTGGATTTTCTTCCATGGGCAGTGAGACCTCATGAAGGGGTTTTAATTATATGTGGTAGGAGAAGCTTTGTACTACAGGGGGTGGGAAAAGAAAAAGAAAGCCAGGCATGGTGGCACATGCTTGTATTCCCAGCTGTTTAGGAGACTGAGGCAGGAGGATCCCAATTTTGAGACCAGCCTGGGCAACTTAGATGCTGTCTCAAAAAGTAGACGGGGCCAGGGATGTAGTTGRGTGGTAGAGTGCTTGCTTAGCATATGTGACACTCAATCATCAATGCTAGGAAAGAAGAAAGGGAGGGAGAGGGGGGAGAAAGACCGAGGGAGGGAGGGAGGAGGGAGAAGTAGAAGAARAGAATAAAAGAGGCATTTCAGAATCAGAAACCTGAGCCAAGTTGTAGAATGGGCCTTAATGTGACCTGATGTATGTGTTTAAGGGCCAAAAGCATTTGGGTTTAGAGCTAAGAAGTCAGAGAGCAATGTATGGGAAGGGTAAGTTTGGAGAGAGAGACCAAGAGGGACTGAGCTGGCTAGGAGAGGAAGGTCCCTGGTGAAGCTAAAGAGGTACTTCCTGTTGGTTTATCGTCAGCGGGAGTCAGGTTGAATAAGATAGAATGTTCTAGAAAATTACCAAAAAAATGCAAACAAACGTACAAGAATTATAACCAGATAGACCAATAGGATCACATACATAACCAAATAATATGCCTATAAGTTGTAAACAAACAGTTTTGAAAGAACAGTAGTGTTTTCTGTCCTAATTAAATGGATTGTGACTTTTTGAGGGTACGTGCTGTGACTGGTTCCCTTCTGATTCTTTCCTTGATCTTGATGAAAATTCTTCTGGCCAGTTTGCTGTCAAGGCTTCCTGAACTTCCACTCTCCTGTCCTGGTCCACAGCCCTCTGTTTCTTCATATTTACCTCTCAGCTCCCAGCAGTCTTTCTGAAGCTGAGGCTGCCTGCCTAGAGTTCCAGCCTCAGGCGGGGAGTGAGAGGTCCAGCACAACCTGGGTTCCTGCTCCTCACTGGTGCCTGAGYACCACCGCCACCTCTGAAGGTGAAGGAGGTCAGGGCTGAATCTTCTAGATAAGCAATTTTCTGAAYTCTTTGCCATCTTGGTCTCCCAATCTTTTGTGCTTTCTGAAGCTCTTACTCTGAAAACAAAGCCTCATAACTTAGAGTTTGGAGGATACAGAGAATATGCTGCTGATTCAGTCCCTTAAAACTTCAGGGGCTGGGGTTGTGGCTCAGTGGTAGCACGCTTGGCTGGCATGTGTGAGGCACTGGGTTCGATTCTCAGCACCACATATAAATAAACAAAGTAAAGGTCTATCAACAACTAAAAAAATTAAAAAAAAAAACTGCAGAGGAAAGGCTCTTTCCTAACTAAAGCATGAAGCATTGTTGTGAGGCCCTCAGCACAGTCACTTCATATCCACTGCCCACCAGAGTGACTAGAAAGTCCATCCCCAGAGCTGAGTGACCYTTGGTGAACTCTGTATTTGAGAAGCCCACAGGCTTGTGATGAAACTTCTGCTGTTCATATTGGACTTAGGGTAACTTTGTTTTCCTGAAGCTRTAGAGGGTGTTAGAGTGTAATCAGGCTCCCTGGCCCAAGGCCCCAGCTGTCCACCCAGTGGTGGTTTGCAAAGAGGACGAACAGACTAGCCACAGGCCATCCCAAGACCAGAAAGAGCTACTCATTAGACAGGCCAGGTGGTTTCCTTGCATTTCTTTCTTTCCTTTTTTGTTTGTTTGTTTGTTTTTATGTGGGAGAGAAGACTCAAGTAAAAGGGAAAACTTGGTATTCCRTGTTCCTAAATTTCAATACAGAAAATGTGGGGAAAAGGGCAGTATTTTCTCGGACTATATCAGTGAATTTCATAAGGTGATTCAAGTGAGAATCAACACATTTTTTAATCTTGACATTCTAATGCTAAAGTTTATAGATTGGTTTAATTTAAACACACTAGCTAAACAGATTTAAAGATGTCATGTTGAAGTGTTGATGGTATCTAATGGGCTGCAAAGCAGCAGGGTGCCAGCAGCCACTAAGAAATAGCAAAGTGTCCAAAAATAGACCCAAATTCAGTCTGTGATAAAGACGACACTTAAATCAGTGGGGAGGATGGATTATTCATTAAATGACATTAGGACAACAGCATAATACAAGAAAATATTAAGCTGGCCTCCTGTGTTATTTCTTATACTGAAGTAATTTCCAGACATTGGGTAGTTGGGTTGGAAGGCAGGCTACAGGATCCTGTTTAAATAGTTCTGAAAGTATGGGGCTGTGTGTTGCTGATTCCAAGATTTCCTCCACAGATTGATAAATACATTAAAAACTGCTCAAAAGAATAGTGAGGGAAATATTTTTTAAATACTTTTAAGTTTTGTAGCCTCTAGTTGGGCATGACAGAACCCCCCAGCATGTTGGTAGGAATGAGGGAACACACCTGCAGTCTCTGTAAAAGCATCCCAACAAAACCCACTTATTCTAATTACACATATCTTTATCCCAGGAATTTTTCTTCTGAGCMTTTCTCATATTTCTATGGGATACATAGGAAAAGATGTTCAAAAGTATACATTGTAATATTGTATTGAAAACAAGATAAATGAATTTATTAAATTTGGGGAATTAAATACAATGAAATTCTTTGGAGACGTGTAAAAGAACATTATTGTGTCCATATGTGTTGCTACACCCTAGAGGATATATCATGCCAGTAAATGAGAAAGCTGGGCATGGTGGCACACACCTGTAATCCTAACGGCTCAGGAGGCTGAGGCAGGAGGATCACCAAGTTCAAAGCCAGCCTCAGCAAAAGCAAGGTGTTCCGCAACTAGGTGAGACCCTGTCTCTAAATAAAATACAAACTAGGGCTGGGGATGTGGGGATGAGTTCAATTCCCAGTAACCACCACCCCCCGCTGCCCCCCTCCCCCGCCAAAAAAGAGGAAAACAAAGTGCAGAACAGAATGAGAATTGGACCTACTTACATGGTTTTAAAACAAAAAAGAATCTCTGGATTTTGCAGTAAATGTCTACTCAGGTTAGACAGAAATACAAGAGGCCCTTATTCTGGCCTGGGCTCTTGTCCTAGGCCCCAGCAGACTAGGCCAAACCAGAATGGGATCCTTCCTGCTAAATGCTGCATAAGCAAACTGAAATGTAAGGAAGCAGATCCATCCCAAGGAGACCAGCTTTTCCAGAAAACAGGAGAGTCCGCCTGAGTTRGGGGAAGGAAGGAAGTCCTTTTTAGCCCTTTTAGCAAAAATTAGCCCTTTACATATAAAGGGCTTTATTCCTTACCAAATAAATAAATAAATAAACCTGATTTAGCTACTCAGCTGTTTTTATTATTCTATTTTTTGTTCCTACCTTAAAAAAAAAAAAAACCCTTTGCCCTCTGTGAATTCTCATTCTGTGTTGTAGGTTGGAAACTGCCCAGTTCATGAATCTTGAATAAAAGCCAATTAGATYTATAACTAATTTTGTTGCAGTTTTGACTTTTGATAGTAGTGGTTGTCTCTGAAAGAGTTACTGGCATCTTAGGGTAGTAGGCATGTTTAATTGCATATCCTTTTATTCCACTTGAAATTTTTTTCCTGTGCTTGTATTACTTTTTCAAGTAAAAATAAAAGCCTAAAAATACAACAGATTGCTATAAAACAGGTCCTCATCATCATCATGTATAATCCAAAATACAGTGTTGAGTAAAAAACAACTTGCAAGACATACAATATGACATTGTTTCAGTTTTTTTTTTAATATTTTTTTGGTTGTAGATGGACCCAATACCTGTATTTTATTTATTTATTTATATGTGGTGCTGAGGATCGAACCCAGTGCTTCACACTTGTCAGGCAAGCGCTCCACCACTGAGCCACAACCCCAGTCCCTTGTTTCAGTTTTAACCCATAAAACAGTTGTTATTTGTGAGTGTGTACGTGTGTGGTGGAATTACAAAACACATGGGAATGAACACAAAAAAGTTACTTCTGGGGAGGAAGAAGAAAAAGGGCTCCATCCTAGTCTACTACTTTCTTTGTTCCTGTTATCAGAGTTCCTAAGAAAGTACAGCAGGATGTTGATACCAGGAAAAGGAGGGCAACACTCCCATTGTGTGCTTTCCTATACATTCAAAGGAAAAAAAATACTGAGATTTTAAAATTAGGAGAATTTTTCTTGGCTTTTTTCAGCACTTGTGTTGTGTTGGGTTGTTGCTGAGTTAAGTCACACTTTCCAGAAGTCACGGATATCTTTCTCCCCCTCACACCAGGTCAGCAGTGGCAATGACCCCTGGTCAGCCTGGAGCGCCTCCAAATCTGGGAACTGGGATGGTTCGGATGGCTGGGGGGCCAAGCCCGAGGGGACTGGCCCCCAGAGAAACTCTGCCAACAACTGGGACTCTGCCTTTGGCCACCCCCAAGCTTACCAAGGACCAGGTGAGGACAGGGTCCCACTGTAAGTGACTGGTAGGAACCTGGTGAGAGGCAAGAAAACCAGTCTGGTTTTGTTTTTCCCACACTTAGTGCACACGGCACACTTCAGTGGCCAAACCCTACRCACCAAGCAGTTTTGCAGCAGATATTGGCTAGGGGTCCTGCGATGTGCCTCAGTCCTGACACTGCCTACTTGGAGTCAGCCATGGGATGCCCTGTTTGGGTCCTATTAATCTGCTGGAGCCGTTGGCAGAGCTCAAGGAAGCACTTCACTTACTGGTGCCAATGTGTTGCAGAGGGTCATTTTTCTTCCTTGTCATTCTTCCCTGAACAATACTGTAACAACTGTCTATGTAGCATAGATATTCAGTTTAGAGATGGCTTACAAGATACAGGAGGATGTATGTATAAGTGGTCATGGAAATACTGTACCATCTAGTAAAACGAGCTTGAAGTGTCTGAGGATTTTAGACTTTGAGGGTGGTCAGTCCTGAAATCAATCACAGTCTCTTACCCCCAGATACCAAGAGATAACTGTTAGAACAAAAAAATTCACCTAGCATTCCTCTTGCTCTGGAAACTACAAGTATTTTAGGAGTCCTTTGCTGGAAACTGGGGCAGAGATCAAATATATGTTTATTATATCACAGTATCACACTGGGTCATCTGAGTTAAAAATAGATTTTATTCAAAAGAACTGTTCACAGTTGCTCTTATTCACTAATAAAAAAGAGAAAAAAAACAAACCCTGAGTCCAAATGTAGACCATCATGAATTATAACGTTCAGTCCTGCCTCAGTCAAGGAGTCCTAGATTCACACACCTGAAGAGCCAGTTTCATGAATAAGAGTAAGGGGCCACCTGGGCTGTGAGAGACTGTATGCCTCCCTCTGGACTCCTCCTCTCCTGTCCTGCCCACCCCTGGCATTCTTCTCTCTGCTCCTGTAAGTTCATCTTTTCAAGGATTCCACATAAAAGTGAAATCACTCAGTGTTTGCCCACCCACATTCCCATTAGAAATGCACGAGGATTACCTTTTCTCTGAATCCTTGCCAATACTCTGTAACTCTTGACTTTTTGATCATTGCCATCCTAACACCTGTGAGATGATGATACCTTCTTGTGATTTTGATTTGAATTTCTCTGATGACTAGTGATGTTGAGCATCTTTTTATAAATCTGTCAGCAATTTGTATATCTGGAAAAATATTTATTTAGGTCTTTTGTCCATTTCTAATTGGGTTATAGTAGTCCCCCTTCTCTGGGGGAACATGTTCCAAGACCCATAGTGGATGTCCAACGCTGCAATATGAAAATCTATGATTTAATGCCTTTTCTTTTCTTTTTTGGGGGGGCCACAGAAGGGGTTTTATTAATGGACACTGCTGTAGCTAAACTTCTAGTCCCATCTTTTTGAAGGGAATAGAGCTTTTCAAAAGCTAGCACAGCAGATTTAATGCCTTTTCTATCTTAACCAAGTACTTATCACACACTATAATCAACTTTTACAATTTGAGATGTGACAGCAAAACTAGCAAGGATTTCTTTTTCCTTCTTCCTGATTTCATGGGTAGAAGAGTTGTTCTTAGTATAGATTTTAGCAAACTCAGTCCATGATTTTTTTCCTTCTTAAGTCAAGAATTCCTCCTTTTTTGCTCAATGGAAGCACTTTACAGCTTCTTTGTCACATCTGAATTTTCAGCCTCACTATGTTTGTGCTTTGGAGGCATTATTAAATAAAATAAGGGTTACCTGAACACTGAGATACGTCAGCCAGTCCACCTCATGACCCAGCTGGCTGACTGATAGGTGATGGTGTATCCAGCATGGATAAGCAGACAAAGAGGTGATCTGCATCCCCAGTAGGATGGAGCAGGAAGTCGCCAGGTTTCATCATGCAATGTGAAATAGTGCAGTTTATAACTTAGTACTGGTTTGTTTCTGAAATTTTCCATTTAATATTTTTGGACCATGGTTGACTCTGGGTAACTAAAACTGCAGGAAGTAAAACTATGGATAAAGGAGTCTATCCTTTCCCCCATTGAGTCGTCTGAGTGCCCTTGTCAAAAGTCAGTTGACCTGACAACCCTATTTGTTTCTAATTTATCTTTTGCACTTTTTTGTCTTTTATCATTTGTCTTTTGTCATGATTCAAGCCTAAAATTGTCTGACTGCAAAGCCTGTTCTCTTAACACCTACATTATACTCCTGTACTACATCCTTTTTTCTGCCTGTCAAAAAATTGACTAGTTTGTTCAGTAGTTGTTATCAGAAAATTAAGTAATTTTATTTTATTATTTTGTTATTTTTTTTTACTGATGTTCTTCTGTTCTCACCTCTAGCAACTGGTGATGACGATGACTGGGATGAAGACTGGGATGACCCCAAGTCCTCTTCTCCTTACTTTAAGGACTCAGAGTCAGCGGAAGCAGGTGTCCAGCGGGGAAACAGTCGTCCTGGGGCCTCCTCCATGAAGCTGCCACTTAACAAGTAAGCTTCAAAAGGAGACGAGGAAACCAGGCTCTTGAGTTTAGTAATATATCTAAAATACAAGGAGGCAGTTGGCTCTTCTTCTGTGTTCAGTGATCTGTTGAGTTTTGGATATGGCTTGGCCATTTTAATTTGCTTCTTAGCTTGCAAGTTGATTTTTTAAAATCATTTTAGAGCATTAGCAAAATATTTATTCCATTTAATGATCTACCAAATAACTTTTATTTTACTTTATAAACTCCATGATATATTTAGGTATCATTGCTAAAAATAATTACTAATAAGAAATGTAAATACATGTATGAAGCTAAAGAAAGCTAAAAATAATATTAATATCAGCTACACTTTTTGAGGGGGAGATACCAGGGTTTAAGCCCAGAGGCACTTAACTACTAAGCAACATCCCCAGCCCTTTTTTAAAAATTTTTTATTATTTATTTATATTTTTATAAATATTTTTTTAGATTTAGGTGGACACAATATTTTGTTTTTATGTGGTGCTGAGGAACAACCTCAATGCCTCATGTGTGCTAGGTGAGTGCTCTACCACTTGAGCCACTACCCTAGTCTCTTACATTTTTTATTTTGAGACAGGGTTTTGTTAAATTTCTAAGTTGCTGAGGCTGGTTTTGAACTTACAATCCTCCTGCCTCAGTCTCCCTAGCCCCTGGAGTTACAGGCATTTGCCACCATTCCTGGCAATAACAGCTGTCTCTACTCTTTTATTAATAACTAACCATGTCCCAGGCATCGTACAAGATCATTTGCATGCATTTTCATGTCCCTTTGTGGTACATATAGTCCCTGTCTTAATGTGGGGGAAAACCGAAGGCCAGGGAGGTCAGGTAACGCTCAAGCTCACACAGGTGGCAAGTGACCTAGCCAGAATTCCAGGCCATCGATACCCAAAGCATGTATTCCTAGACTACAATGAATATGTTCCTGAGATCTATTTTCACTTAGATTTATCTTAAAGAAAAAATGTTTTTTTATAATACTTGCAATCTTACTGCTTAACAAGAATGCATGTGGCAAAGAGTGAATATGGACTTAGCACTGTAAGATTTTTGGTAGAGAATTCTAGTAAGTTTATATAGTATACTTCATAGTGTAACTTGAAGGACAAAAAAGTATGTCATCTTCTTCAGGTACTTTTGTTTCAAATAGCTTGTTTTCTAAAATTACTAATACTTGTTTTTAAGTGTTCCAAGTTCATGATTCAAAGTAGTTATTAAAGAATATTCATCCAATTTAGAGGCAAACCAGTAAGGCTCACTTCTGATTTCTCACTTCAGACCCTAAAATCAAGGAGGGCCTGGAATGAGATATTCTAAGGTCTAAAAGAAAACAACTGCCATCCAAAGTTACTATACTCAGCAAAGCTAGTAGCAAATCCAAGGGGGAAACAAATACTTTCCATAACAAGAATAAACTAAAATAATTCATGAGCACCAAGCCAGTACTACAAAGTATACTCAAAAGATTAACTACACACAGGGGAGCTAAAAATCAACCCCCAGCTGGGCGCGATGGCACATGCCTRTAATCCCAGCAGCTCGGGAGGCTGAGGCAGGAGGATTGTGAGTTCAAAGCCAGCCTCAGCAAAAAGCGAGGTGCTGAGCAACTCCGTGAAACCCTGTCTCTAAATAAAATACAAAATAGGGCCAGGGTTGTGGCTCAGTGATAGAGCACTTGCCTRACATGTGTGAGGCACTGGGTTCCATCCTCACCACCACATAAAAATGAATAAAATAAAGGTATTGTGTCCATCTACAACTAAAAAAAAAGAATGGTTCAAAGGCAAGGCATGATGGCACACACTTGTAGTGCAGTGGCTTAGGAGGCTGAGGCAGGAGGACTGCAAGTTCAAAGCCAACCTCGGCAATTTGGCAAACCCCTAAGCAACTTAGTGAGACCCTATCTCAAAACAAAAAAGACTGGGGGTGTGGCTCCGTGGTTAAGCACCCCTGGGTTCAATTCCTGGTACTAACACCCCCCCCTCAAAAAAAAAAAAAAGAAAGGCTTGAAGAAGAAATGAGAATAGAAATAAAGAAATTATTAAAAACTAACGAGAACAGAGATACAGCATATCTCTGGGATAGTATGAAAGCAGTTCTAAGAGGAAAATGTATAGCCCTGAGTGCCTACATTAAAAAATAGGTCCTGAATAAATAAACTTATGCTCTACTACAAAGCCTTAGAAAAAGAACAAACCAGTTCCAAAACCAGTAGAAGATAGGAAGTAATTAAGATCGGAGCCAAAAACAATGAAATTGAAAATAAGAAAACAACATACAGGATCAGTGTCACAAAGTGTTGGGTCTTTGAAAAGATAAATAAGGTTAACATACCCCTTAGCCAAACTAACCAAAAGAAAGAGAAGACTCAAGTCAACAAGATCAGAAATGGAAAAGGAGATATCACCACAGACCCTTCTGAAATCTGGAGGATTATCAGAATTTTATTTTGAAAATATATACTCTAATAAACTGGAAAATGTAGAAGACATTGACAGATTTCTAGTCACATGTTACCTGCCCAAATTGAATCAGATATAGAAAATCTAAACAGACCAATATCAAGTAATGAAGTTGAAACAGCAATGAAAAGCCTTCCAGAAAAGACCTTTAAAGAAGAACTAACACCRGTCTTTCTCATATTATTCCATGAAATTGAAAGGGAGGGAACACTCCCAAATATATTCTGTGAAGCCAGTATAACCCTGAAACCRAAACTCTACAAAGATGCAACAAGGAAAGAAATCTACTGACCAATATTCCTGATGAACATAGATGCAAAAATTCTTAATAAAATATTAGCAAACCACATTCAAAATACACCATGAACAAGTGGGTTTCATTTGTGGGATGCAAGATTGATTTAAATATATGAAAAAATGCTCAACATCTCTAGCAATCGGGGAAATGCAAATCAAAACTACATTAAAATTTTATCTTACTTCAGTCAGAGTGGCAATGATCAAGAATACAAACAAATATAAATGCAGGTGAACTTTTGGGGGAAAAGATACACTTACACATTATTGTTGGGACTACAGACTAGTGCAACCACTCTGCAAAGCAATATGGAGATTCCTCAAAAAACTGGGGGTGGACCTACCACATAACCCAGCCATTCCACTCCTTAGTATTTTCCCCAAAAATCCAAAGTCAGCATGCTATAGCAATACAGCCACCTCAGTGTTTAATAGCAGCACAACTCACAATAGCCTAATTATGAAATCAACTCAGGTGCCAATCAACAGGTGAATGGATTAAGAAATTGTGAAGTGTGTGTTTGTGTATTGTATGTATACACATTGGACACACACAATGGAGTTCTACCCAGCCGTAAAAAAAGAATGAAATTATTGGCATTTGCCAGTAAATGAATGGAAATGGAGAATATCATGCTAAGTGAAATAAGCCACACTCAGAAACTCAAGGCTGTTTTCTTTTATATGAGGAAGCAAGAGTAAAATAAAGGAAAGAGGAGGGAAGGATAGGATATCATAAAGATAAAGGGAAGATCAGGATTGTAAAAGAAGATGATCAAGAGACAGTGGAGGAATGGGAAAGGGGAGGTCATGCAGAGTGGATTCTTAAAAATTCATGTTATGTGCATATAAAGTATACCACAGGGAACCTCACCTTTACGTATAAGTAAAAAGAACCAACCTCACCTTTATGTATAAGTAAAAAGAACCAATCTGACATAAATAAATAGATTGAGTGAAAGAAAGTTGAGTAGAATAGAGAAAGACAAACTGTGAGGGAAAAGGAGTGGGGAAAAGTCGGGATCATGAACTGAAATTGAATTCCATGCATGTGTTAGTTTGTCGGGAAGAACCCAACTACTATGTATAACTATAAAGCTCTAATTTTAAAAAGTTCTTAATGTGTATGGAAAAGAACTGCAAACGTAATGTTTGGCTGTTATCTGGAGCCAAGGTTTAGAGGAGGCCCACACATTCCAGAGTCTATTGAAATCACCCCGGTGATTAAGTAGGTCCCTTGCACCTCTCTCCAGTGTCTTCCATTATGTGTTTTCATGGTCAGGTGCATAATAAATTTAGTCATTCATTATTACCATATCTTGTTTTTAGATTCAAATTTGAAATTCTCAGTATGGTCAGTAGTGGTGTCTGTTTCTCTCAGTTGTTCTTTAAGCCTTAATATAATGTTTAAATCCCATTTAAATATAATCTGTCTCTTGGACCGATTTTGAAAAGCAGAGACTAAGAAAAACCAGTGGCCATGTTTCCTAGCCACTGTGTGAGGCTGACTCACACAGCTGCCCTGCCCTGCTCAGCTCTGCACTGGCTCTCAAACTCTGAGTTTGATGACATGTTTGAACTTCAGTTTCCCTGTCTCTAAAGCAAAGAAGTTGGCTTTAATTAAGCACTCTTTCTGCTCTAAAATGTCGTTCCAGGTTGAAGCCAAACTAGAGTAGTCTCCATGTAACCCTATTCTTCTCAGGCTTCCTTCTCTCTGTGGTGCTGGGAATAATTGAAGTCACATGCATTTTTACTTAACTAGACTAATACACATGAGTCACTTTGAAYAGTTATGAAAATTTAAAAAATGTATCTACAGCTTTTCAGCAATTCATTTTATTGTCAGCTGTATTCAACTCATGGAATATAAACCTTATACTAAAAGGGAGACAAATAATTTAAATATGCTTGAGCATTTTAAGATCTATTTTGATAATGCTCAATAATTAATAAATTACATTGCCATAGCTGGATGTACACAGTTAATGCTAGAATTTTGTCATGGTCCATAAGAATACTAAAAAATGTGATGTGCTTTCTGTGCTCAGCTCAGTCACCATCTGGTCAGGGAGTTATTACAGTATCTGGTTCCCAGAGGTCCTTTAATGAAAGGACCATGTTAGCCTGCTAGTTCATTAAGTATTTAGTATGTCCTCAGGACTGGTTCAGGTCCTRGAAATACTAATACTTTCTCTGAAGTCCCTCTAGTCTGCTGTAGTATGTAAATGGACAGTGGCATTAAGTGGGATAAATTGTGTAGCAGGCATCTGAGTACAGAATACTGAGGAAGCACAGAGAGGGATCCCCCCGAGGCTGCACTGAGTATCTCCATACTGGGTTCTTCACACCCCTCAATTCCCTTATCACCCAAGAACGCGGGTCGTCTCAGTTCCATTCTTCTCTGAGGAAACCACCTGAGTGCTGGAGCTGCAGTTCACATCCAGAGCCACCGACTCCAAGACTCCTCTTTGTTCTTCCCTGTCTGGGCTGCATTTTAAAGCATGTCTAGGGTATGGGGACTTCTGGGAAGCCAGTTAAGAATGAAAGAAAGGTACCAACCCCCGAGCATCGTGCAGGCCTTTGGCTAGGTATATGAATGAAATTAGAAGYGGGCTAGGACTTTGTAAAAGTAAATTTTCCCCCTGATTTTAGGTATTTTGCTTTCAGGATTTTTTAGTAAATTCTAAAACACATTATTTTCTTTTTGAGAAGTAGCACTTTGGATTACTGTGCACCTATTCTAGTTGTTCTGCAGTTTTAGATATTGCCTTTGAATGTAGAGTTGTAGCCATATGCATTTATGATGCTTGGGGCTGACTATGAAGACTTCTATCCTGTCTCATAAACTGACCCTGAAGGCATTCCAAAATAAAATGGCGCAGATGCTTGTGAACAGAGTCGGCATTCTCGGCCTAACTGTAGTCACCCTGCATGAATGTGTTAAAAGGCACCTGTACTTTGGAAGTAGAATGCCTTTGTGTACCCATTGCTCCATGTGGCTGACTCAAATTGATGTGCTGGGTAATAGGGCATGGGAGGGGCCTTTTCCAGGTTTCCTTTTACAATGTTGGTGATAGATGGTTTCAGATCCAGTTACACAGAGAACCAATGAATATCACACCTTCTAAAATCAAACTGCTCTGGAGCGTAATTAAATGATGAGCTGGCCATTGAACAATCTGTTTACATCAGGTTTCATTTACTACACTCCAGTTCTGGTGCATCTGAAAGATAGAACAAGGTTAAAGCTGGGRTATCAGGGAAACATGGTGAGACTTGGGAATTTTCTGAGGAAAGGCATTAAGACTCACAACATTTATCTTCATGGTTAGATTTCCTGGATTTGCAAAACCTGGAATGGAACAGTATTTGTTGGCCAAGCAACTAGCAAAATCCAAAGAGAAAATTCCCATCATCGTAAGTTTGTTCATTTTTSTTTGCTTTGTTTCTAATTAAGGTCTTTCTTAATGCCTTATAGCTAAAAGGGTTATCAGTCTTCTGGAAAGTATTTTTAAACAGATTTTATGTCCCAAATAATTGATGATATCCTAGTATTTTAGGAGTGTTAAAGATAATTAGCATAAATTAATGCCTGAATATTATCCAGATATTCTGCTTTTAATCTTTGAAATTATTGATATTGAAGCAACACTTCATAGACATATTATTTTAATACCTTTTCTATTGTGTATATTTTGCATGCTGTTTTTCTACCTACTTTAGCTAATAAGCTCAGTTCAGATGTTTCAGTTCCACCTTGGAAAGCGCAAGCATGCTGTCAGAATCAGGTCCTTTTCCCAGTATGCTGGTCACAGTGCTTCTTGCGGAAGGCCAGCTGTCAGCTCAAGCAGTGGAAGCTGGGCGCTATCAACACCAGGAGGGACTCCCCCTGTCTTAGAATACTGATCATTATGCAGAGTGACACAGGCTCTTTGTTTTCATCCCATGTTTTGATCTAGCTGCATGTCCCCAAATGAAATTCTGGCTATTTTCTGACCCTATCCACTTAACCCTGTGAAATGTGGGGTGGGGCGGCCTGGGGTAGAATTGCCATTATGCCAACAAGGATGAGGAGACACTGGTCTGGTTCTATAATTTTTGATTCTGGACTTGATGAAATTGCAGGAATAATACTGGATGCTTTAATTACTTGTTCCCACATCTTTGAAAAGCTTCAAATCCTAGAAACCTCCAGACAGTGGAGCCCCTTTTATCTTTTCCCTCAAAGCAAATTTGGGGTATACCTTACCAAAGTAGTAGTGGAATTAACAATTATTTGATTTTTTTGTTTGTGCCAGGCTTTTAATAATTTTTTCATTCCTCCTTGAATCTGAGTGGATTTCTTTCCTGGAAGTGTTCCCTTTACGTGTGTGTGTGTGTGTGTGTGTGTGTGTGTGTGTGTGTGTGTGAAATTATTCTTTTGGTTAAATTTAGAACTCAACACAATTAAGAGCCCATGGCTCTGCCCTCACCTTCATAAAGTGGACTTTGTCTTGGGGGTGACAGTGGTGGACCAGTGTGGAAAGCTGGGGCGTGGCCCTGTCTCACGAGCTTTAGGTAGAGGCAGGGCTGCCTGTGAGGGCCTCTTGCATGGAAAGGGAAGCTGAGCAAAGCCACAGTCTTCAGGAAGCCAGGAGAACCCAGAGACCTGCTTCTCTATTTGGAAGGTACAAGTAGCCCTTCCCACTAGTGAAATATGGCCCTGGGGACATGGCCAACCCTGCCTCTCAGTGCCAGTCATGAGGGAAGTTCCCCAAGGTGCCCTTGGGTTCTACTCTGAAGCTTTCGGAGAGCTTCCTGATTCTGGCCCCTCTGGGGACAGCATGGCTGTTTGTTCTCAGAGATCTTCTCTTTAGTCCCTTACTCCAGTCCTCGGTTGCCTTCCTGACCTAAAGACCTCTGGACTTTCATACTTCATACTACTTTTTCCCTTGCCCACCTTGAGAAAGAAAGAGGACTGGTTGTCACTCTTTTCCCTTAAATTTGCTGGTTTTCCCTTAGAGATCTCAGCCTGCACATGGTCTTCTCGTTTCCTTTTTACTCTTCTTGCTTTTTCTAACTGTAAGATTAAAAGCTGTTTTATAAAATACTATTTTCATTTCTCCCTGAATCTGAGTGGATTTCTTTCCTGGAAAATGTTCCCTTTACATATTGTTTTTTTTTACTTTATTCCTAGATTACATAATTTAGTACTTTTCTATTCCAATTCAAGAAGTTAACATATCCTCAAGATCATAAGGACTCTTGTTCTTTTTTTAGTTATTATTGGATACAATATCTTCATTTTATTTATTATTTTTAAGTGGTGCTGAGGATCAAACCCAGCACCTCACAAGCACTAGGTGAGCGCTCTACCGCTGAGCCACCCAAGACTCCTGTTCTTTATATGTCCTTTGATGGGATCCACTGGTCCTACAGACTGGCTCTCAGAAATCTGTAAGTTTCTATTCATTCTGAAATGGATGATCCAGAGCCAACATGAAACTATCAGTCATTCAGGGAGTGATATCAGGAGCCTGTGTGTGAGCCCCAGGACCCATATCTTCTGCAGCCACCTCTATAGCCTTATAGTTCTAAACAAGATGAAATGGCCACATTCAGGACTGCAGACTTGTTGGCAGTTAGCAGTGCCTGGCAGAAATGATCCTCAGGCTCCACACTTACATGCAAGTTCCCGGTACCCCCACAGAGAAGTTGCCCAGTTCCCTTCCTCACCCCATCCCAGTGAAACCCCAGTTTTGTAGTGGAAGCCTAAGAAGCCTCACCTGAATTTATGCCTTTGCCCCTTGGTCACAGATGGGAAAAGGCAGTGGAGAAAGAATGGGGCCTGTCTTTTGGTAAACCTTGCCTAGCAGGTGGAATACCCGGCACAGGAAGTGAGCCAACCCACTGCACAGACAGCCCAAGAGAAAACATCTGGCCTAATTCTTGCTTTTGAGAAACAAAATAAAAACTCCCTGCCCACAGTAAAGCCATGGATGTGAGGTCCTGGCCAATCCAATTAGCCATTTCTGTAGCTTTGAACAGAGCTACTCAGAATTATCATCACAGATCAGTTGCCCAGTTAAAAACTGTTACTAGTTCACCCAAAGTACAAAAAATGAGAGTATTTAGAAAATTTGATGGTAATTTGACATCATTGAGAAATCCAAATGTGTAAATTTTTACTTCGTTAAACTATTAGTCTGTAATAGATTGGGAAATTTTTTAAAATGGCTTTTCACAAATAGCTTGAGAAACTGATCTAGAGAGAGGCACTGTGTTCCAGCCAGTACTTGCCTAGATGGGGAGCCATTTTCTCCTCCTTGTGGGCCAGGCTGCCTACAAGTGTGTTCTAACAAGTGTGTTCATCCTAACAAGTATGTTCTTCAAATGTGACCTCTGATAGGAACAGAGACCAGTTATGAACCTTCTTGAAGAGGAGTAAGAATGACCTTCCAGAGGACTTATGATCCTAAAAGAATCATTTACTGATTTGTACCAAGTGTATGTACTGTTTTTCCATGTTATAAAATTAACTTTCCCTGGATCATTGTGTAGGTTGGAGATTATGGCCCGATGTGGGTTTATCCTACCTCTACATTTGACTGTGTGGTAGCAGATCCCAGGAAAGGCTCCAAAATGTATGGTCTGAAGAGCTACATTGAATATCAATTAACACCTACTGTAAGTGCACAGTGTCGGACACAGCGGTGCTCCCTGCGCTGTCTGCTGCTTGCTTTTCCCCTTGTTTTCTGTAGTGGACATTGGTAACTTCTCATCTCTTTCCCTTATTTTGTAGAACACTAATCGATCTGTAAACCACAGGTATAAGCACTTTGACTGGTTATATGAGCGTCTCCTGGTTAAGTTTGGATCAGCCATTCCGATCCCTTCTCTTCCAGACAAGCAGGTCACAGGTGAGTGTGTGTCACGCTGAGCATAGGACAAGGAAAAGGATGCAGTCAGGTTGGCCTCCTGCAAGGGGATGTGGTTCTCTAGAGCAGCAGGGTGCCCACGTGTGGGAACAGTAGGTAATACATCTGAAAAGAGAGCTAGAACACATGTTCTGGTAACGTCTGGATGTTACCTGAACACCAATGGGATTTTTGATAAAATTTGCTAGCAGTTTTGATCCCCCACACTGGGGGAAACAAATTGTTATCAGAGCTCTAGTGGGTGTACCCTGAATTCCAGCAGTCTTTGTCTTTATTTTCTCCTATAAAAGAAATAGGTACATTTTTTTAAATGTGAAAAAATGACACCTGAAAATATAGAAATTATTTAGAAAGCCTAAAATGAAAATAAAAATTGTGACTCAAATAGTGTAAAGAGGCTATGCAGACCAGCTGTGTCACTTTCTACAGAGGTGTTTGTAATTGATTATTGCCCTTTCCCTTTTCTTGTTTATTTAAAGTGTTCTTCTTCCTTCACCACTTTCCTTCCCCAAATTATTCTGGTAAGTAACACGTGATGCCAGGGCATCTTGTAAACGAGCAGTCAGGATTTATTACAGTCAGGATTTATTCCCATGCTGGGGAGCTGTCCTGTTCTCTGGTCTTCATCCCTAGCCTGGCAAGGAATCTGGGTGTTTGAGCTCAGGGACTCTGCTGCTGTGGCTCATTACAAGGTTTTTGGAGACACTGAGCTTTTCCAGAGGTGAGAGGAGAGGGTTTAGTACACAGCGGGAAATGTTCAGTGGAAGGAAACCACAGTGCAGGAAGGCCTGGGAGGAGAGTGAGAGCGAGGTACCCGAGGGGCTGGGAGAAGAGAGTCGTTCCCTTCAATAAAATACAAAGCTTTACTTTGTATTTTACTTAGTTTAATATTTACTTTTCTAGAAATGGGGGGGGTGGAAATTTCATTTTTAAAATTTTTCTTTTTTGAAAAATTTTTTTCAGAAATTTCAGAATAGAGAGTAAGGGCTTCCCTTCTAGGTAAAGGGACACATCCCAGCAGCCCTGCTGGTGAGCTGATGAGGCCCCTTGAAGAGCCCAAGAGCCGGGGTGGAGAGTGGAAGTGAGCCACCTCCTCCACAYGGTTCCCGAGCCCCCCTGCCTGTGCCCAGGGTAGACACTCTCCCTCCTTTTGCCACCTCATTGCCTAAGTGTCAGCTTTCAGATTTCTTTCCATGAAAACATTAGTCCTGCCTTTCTTCGTATTTTTGAATTTCAGTCTGTTGTTGGTTTGACACTCACCTTTGGCCTCTTGGTTGGCACAGCATGTTCTCCACAGGATTTAACGAGTTCAGTGACTGTCTCAGGGTTGTGAGGCTTCCTTGTGTCATTTAGGTTCAATACATTATTAATTCTGAGTCAGGTAATTCAGTGCTATTTAAAGCACCACAGAGTCACAGTTCTCCTTCCATATTAAGTTTTGTTTTGTTTGTTTTTTGAAATATGGGCATGCCTCCAAGTAGGTGGCAGAGAGAAGCAAGAAAGCAAAGTCCCCCAGTCTGGAAACAGCCTTGCTTTGGCCTGCTGACTGGATGTGTGCCGAGCAGACTGAGGCACACGGAGCCGCGTTTTCCCCCTTCTCTCTGGTTTGCCTTCTGCCTGTGATTGCCACAGGTCATTGGGTGTACAAACTCTCCTCCTCCTGAGCCCTGGGAGGAGAGGAGGAGGAAGCCCAGTAGAGGATGTCCTGACATTTCTGTGGACTTTATAACCAATACCCTTACAAAGTTCCTAGCCAACTTTTTTTGTGGATTTRGTTCTTTGGGAAATAATACTGAATGAATTGGGTTTACCCCTGGATGCCATGTAGTATCATGGCATGCTTGGCGAAAACCCAAGTAAAGTTTGTATAAAGTGGAGGAATGAGAGTTCCTCCTCCTGGTGTTTTTTTTTTTTAAATTAGTCTCTGGAACCTGGTATGAAAGTCTTACCAAGCATAAAATAACTTCCAAAGGCATAGTTTAGAGACAAACCAGCTATGTCAGAAGAATTTTCACAAGGATGAAGTTTTTTCAGTAGAATAAAAATCATTAAATTTCAACCACTGGTTAGTTAGCAAACTCTTGGGACAATTCCAAGCCGGCCCTTCATCCCGCAGCCTCACACACAGACAGCACCAGGCTTTCTGCTCTCACGATTTTCTTTTTGTTTGCGTCTTTCAGTGATTTAGTTCTGCTTATCTTGGTGAGGATCCCTTTGTATGTGTTGTACAAATACAAAGTTTATTGAGGTTCGTTGAACTTCTTGGAAGTGTAGATAAAAGTTTTTCATCAAATTTTGGAAGGTTTTTGCCATTATTTCTTCAAATATCTTTTCTGCTTCTTTTTCTTCCTCTCCCTCCAGGACTCCCGTTGCAGGTATTTGGTGTGCTTGATGAGTTCTAAGGCTTGTTCATTTTATTATTTTTTTCTTTCTGTTCTTGATCTTAAAGAATTTATATTGATTGTCTTCAAATGCTCTGATTCTGTCTCCTGCCATTCTGAATCTGCTGTTGAGCCCCTAAAGGGAATTTTTTATTTCAGTCAGTGTACTTTCAATTCCACTAATTCCCTGTGGTTCTTTTTTTCTTCTTCTTCTTCTTCAAATAATTTCCATCTCTTTGAGAAGCTGTTTGTTGATTGCTTATCATACTTCTGTTTAATTTTTTTAAAACAAGTTTCCGTTAGTTCTTTCAACATATTTGTAGAAGCTGCTAAATTCAACATCTTAGGATACTCAAGACAGCTTCTTTTGACTGCTTTTTCTCTCAGTGTGGATCATATCTTGCTGTTTCTGTGCAGTACTCTCATTTTTTTGTTGAAAACTAGAGATTTTGGGGAATATATTTTAGCAACTCTAAATTCTGATTTTTCTTCCCTGAAAGTTGTTTTTGCTTAGTTAAGTAACTTTCATTGGCAGAATCTCTGAATTCTGGCTCCCTTGCAGCTTAGTTATTTTTATATGTGGTTATAGTTCAAAAGCCTTTTTTTTTTTTTTTTTTTTAGTGATTTGAGCCCAGGGCCTCACTCACGCATGCTATACCACAAGTTCTTGAGTACACCCCAGCCCTGTTTATTTTATCAATCTTACTTCCTGTGTCCATGTAGATTGGTGAGAGGCCAGTGATTGATTGGATAGAGGTTGTGCTCAGCAACTCATGCCAATAGGGCTTCTGTCCTGTCCAGGTAACTGTAGATAGGGAGAGTACTTTCAAAGCTCAGGTCATTTCTAAGTTAGCCCTAGCTTTTACTGTGTCCTGGTAGCTGGGACTGTGGAGTGTGTGCTGCTGCACCAGGCTTCCTGAGCCCTTTCCTGTCTCTTCAAATGTGTGCAGCTTCAGGTGGGCCTGGTCCAGCTGCTGCTGTTTGTGCACACCCTGAGCCTGGAATGTGCTTGGCTCAGCCATCTCAGCTGTAGTGTCATTGGTGCTCCCTGTTCACCCACCTCTACCATTGTCACTTCCACTCCTATCTGAAACACAGGCAGCTCCCTCTGTCAGCTTCACATAGGTGAACTGCCTCCTGTCCTGGCAAGAAGGCAGCGCTGCCAGTCTCCATAGCGCTCTGCCCCGGCGTTCTTTCAGCAGGGGTGGGAAAGAAAGCACACAGGAGCTGGGAGAGATGGCCGTCTGCCTTTGCTTATCTGCAGAGGACTGATGTGGTTTTACCACTGCTGTCCAGCCTTGTAGTTTGCTTCTTGGGGAGAGGATCTGGTAGTATCCTCACTGGTCATAGTGGAGTTTGTTTCACAGGCCCCTGAATACTCGGTGTTGATTTGCTGTTCATACCTCATGCTTGTCAAACTGACTTTCTACTTTTAAAATAGCAATGTTGCTCATTGAGCTCTACTTTAATGCAGCCATAAAAATTCTAGGATAATAACTTCCATTATCACATTCATGGAAAAATTACTTTTGCTTTTGTTTTTTGTTRGGTGTTTTCTTTGGATTTCTTTTGTGGTGCACACATGGACTGAATCCAGGGCCTTGCACATACTAAGCAGGCACTCTCCCTCTGAGCTGCTTCTGTAGCCTATTTTCAGTTCAATTTTTTAAAACACAGTGGAGAAATAAAGCAACAGTCCTGAGTTGCTCAAGTACTGAGTACAGTGCTAAGTGAGGATTATGTGCACTCAGCTGTATTTCTGCAGCTCTGGAAATGTTACGTACTTTGGGAGAGTGATTTACTGAATTCCACTTCCTCCTTTCTTTCCTCTGGGGCTTCCTGTGGCCACCCAGGAACTGGCCTAATGTTTACTCTCATGAGCTAGAGATAGTTTTTTGTATTCCAATAAGACTTACTTAAAATTTTAATTTTTGTCACACTAAAAGCTTTGCTGATATGTTGAATTGGAATTTCATTCCTTAAAAACTGTGATATCTTTCCTGTAAGCCTTTGAGAAATCCTGTGTTGCATGGTTTTTAGAATGCTGAAAAATTCCCACGGTTTGCCTTTTACAAAATGCTTTCTACTGACAGCCAGCAGTCACAGAAATGGCTTCTCAGTCATAGCAATAGCAATTCACTTTAGAGAGGGTTGTGTGTCACTGGCGGTGTCTCTTCGGCAGGTCGCTTTGAAGAGGAATTTATAAAGATGCGCATGGAGAGACTTCAGGCTTGGATGACCAGGATGTGCCGGCACCCAGTGATCTCCGAAAGTGAGGTCTTCCAGCAATTCCTAAACTTCCGAGATGAGAAGGTAGGACAACTCACAGTCTTGTCACAGTCTTGGGGAAATGAGTTTTGCCACGATCACACTGAATTTGTCTAGAAGCTAAAACTAGGCTGTTTGGAATTTGTTTGTCACCCCCTTCAGAGACAAAGAGGGCACAGAAACCTAAATCCCACCAGAGGAAGTTCAGTGTGCAGTGAAAGAGCTGCCAGGCAGAGACCCCTCCAGCTGGGAACGTCTGGTCACAGCCGAGCAGGGGCAGGCAGGCTGAAGGGTGCATGGGGGCGACAGGTTGTTTACTGACCTCAGGTGAGGAAGATGCTGTCAGCTGTCAACGTCAGGTGAAGGGAACCAGTGACGGTTCCTGAATGCCTTCGACCTCACAGTGCTGTAGCATCTCAGGAGGAAAGCAGAATCTGGTGCCATTCCTAGAGCCAAGTCACTTTCCCATAACTGTATTGTGAATCCAAAAGACACGCTGGGCTTGCTCTGCTGACCCCAGGGGCCACTTACTGACAGAAGTTTTCTCTTACAGTTAAAATTAGAAAAAACTGGCTACTTGACATCTCACTATGTCTGTTTAGGAAATAGATTTCTCTCCTGATGAGCATTTACTGTACGCTGTACTATGTCTCTTCGGCAGGTCGCTTTGAAAAGGAATTTATAAAGACGTTCTCTAAAGGGGTTTTCTCCATAACTCACTTCTCTTATAAAAAATATTGTGTATTTTAGAAAATAGTCCAAAGTGTAAAAACTTGAGTTCACTCAGAACAGCAGCAGGTGCTAAATATATTATGACCCTGGAAAAAATGTTATGAGGTTATGTCTTAAATCACATAGTAGAATACCATCAATCCTATTGGAACTTGCAGAGATTTATTTGCTAAACTTCTTATGGTACTTTTCCCTTGTTGAAGTGAACACATTTACACACTGTCTAAATATTAGGGCCCTATCTGTGTATTTACAGACATATACACATATTTAACACAGTATAAGTATTTGGGCTTAATTTTCAGTTACTGCCTCTTTCTAGACTTGACAGGCACTTTTGGTGTGTTGCATATCACCAAGAAAGGAATTAGAAAACACTGAGGTCCTCTAGCGTTTCTTGGTAAGTTTGTATGTGTCATCTGTTAGTCTTGCAGGCTGCTCTGCAAATCCTGGCTTTTCTGTTAAGAGGCAGCATTAATCTGTAGCATGTCATGGAGCTCTATTGAAATGAAAATAGGTTTTTAACATTTTGTTACTTGGTAGCTATGGAAGCTACATGGACCCTTCATGGTTTGCTGTCTCATGGTGAGCCAAAGGACTTCAGTAGTCCCAATTGTGTGATTTGCCCAGGATTTGATGTAGAAAGCATATCTGAAGGTCATGTATCTACATAGTATAGTGTTCAGATAATAGTAAACCCTCATCACGGGTCGTTTTATTTTTCATGGCTGCCATCTTCRAAGACAGATCAGCATGTGGTAAAAGTGTGTCAGAGAAACAGAGAACTTGGAGTCAGGATGCTTCCAGCCTGGRCTCTGTTTCTGACCACTGTGTGATCTTGCTCAGGGCATGTGTTCTCTTTGGGCCACATTTTCTTCTCCTACCAAATGACATTGTAGAACTAGGAAAATGAGTTCTATGGCTATTAGTAGCTCATATAGTAGTGAACATAGAAAATCCCAAAGAAAATACATAGAAATTACTGGAAATAAATGAGCATTAAGGTAGCTAGAGTTAAGACATTGCAATTTGTCAGTGATAAAAACCCAAAAGCCTATCATTTACAATACCATCCAAAGTGTCAAATAACTAGGAATAAATAGAAGAAATTTAAGAAAGCTCTCCATAGAAAACTATGAAACATTATTGAGATAAGTAAAAGAAGACCTAAATAAAATTTCTAATACTGTGTTTCACAGATTAAAAAACAGTAAAAATGTCATGAGTAGGAAAAGTGCTAAGAGGAGCCGAGACGCTCTAGGAGGGCGCCGCTGGCCTCAGCTCAGTGCAGCTCGGGCAGCTTAGGAAGCACCGAGCTGGTGCCTCTGGGCCTTTCCTTTTCTCTTCATTCCTTCSTCTTTTTTGTTTTTCTTCCCCTCTCTCCTCTAAAGGATCGACAGGCAGCCCCAGAGGACAGGATAGAGTAGCCTAGAGCACGGAGGGAGGGAACAGAGCTTTTTCAGTAAGCAGTGCTGGGCCTGTTGGGCTCTGGACAGCTTCTCCCATGCTCACATCCGGAGCCGACTGCAGTCTCCTTGTGTGCTGGGCCTTGCAGCAGGACAGGGTCTGGGGGTTTCTTCTGCTCCGTGAATGTTAGTTGCAGGGCACGCAGCTGAAGTTGTGACCAAAGGAGGGTGTGCTCCCAGGAAAGTCTCAAGGAAGAGTAATGTAGGCAGCAGAAGCAGCCGTCAAAAGGGTGAGAGTGTAGAGGTGCAACCAGGGGGAGGGAAGTTGGAGGTAAAGTTCTTCCAGATACGGAGGCATTGAAGTGGGTCTGGACAGTGAGGGATTTTTTTCTTCCTTAATTATCTCTTTTTTTTTCTTTTAAGTTTTCTTTCTTTTTGAGATGGAGTCTCACTGTGTTGCCTAGTGGCCTTGAATTTACAGTCCTTTTGCCTCAGCTTCCCAGGTACCTGGGATTATAGGCACAAGCCATTGCTCCCAGCTGATAAGTATTATTTCCTATTTAGAGATGGAAAGTACGTAGGCTGAGTAAGTCACTGTGGGGACTGCACCACGTGAAGCTGCCTATTGCTTGAAGTTCTGAAATCTTTCATAATGTAAAAATTGTTCATTCTCTCTTATAATAAACTAATGAGACAAAAAAGAACAGCGACAGAAGGTTGATGTCATTGAAGCCGAGTCTGTGGGGGCTTACAGTTTTCTCTCTACTTTCATATGAGTTTTGTTTTGTTTTTGGTGGTGCTGGGAATTGAACCCAGGGCCTTGTGCACGTGAGGCAAGCACTCTACCTACAGAGCTATATCCCCAGCCCTACTTTCATATATGTTTGAAATTTTCCATTGTATCAATGTTTTAAAAACCAATTTCAGATGTAAATGTGGAAGGCAGTGTAATGAACCTTCTAGAACATGACCTAGAATATTATCTTCATAACCCTAGCGTAGAAAAAGATTTCTGAAATGAGACACAAACAAGACTGAGCATTCGGGGATAGGTTAATAAATTAGACTACAGTAAGACTAAGGACTTTTTTATCAGAAAAACCATTAAGGGGCTGGGGATGTGGCTCAAGCGGTAGCGCGCTCGCCTGGCATGCGTGCGGCCCGGGTTCGATCCTCAGCACCACATACCAACAAAGATGTTGTGTCCGCCAAGAACTAAAAAATAAATATTAAAAATTCTCTCTYTCTCCTCTCTCACTCTGTCTTTAAAAAAAAATCTCTAAAAAAAAAAAAGAAAAACCATTAAAAGTTTTTTTAAAAAAGCTATTTATATAAAAGATATTTGCAACATAAATACCCAATGAAGGTATTTAGAATTTATAAAAACCCACATAAACAATAAGACAATCAGCCCAGTACGATCAGGGAAATGTAAATTAAAACCACAGCAAGACACCAGTCCACACTCACCAACATGGCTAAGATGAGGAGACTGACAGCCACGCTTCTCCTTGGAGAAGTGAGATGCCACTGGATTCACTGTGCTGGGGGGAGTGGAAATGGGTAAGAGCAGCTTGGAAAACAGTCTGGTGTTACCTACCGTAGTTGAACCAGGATCCAGCATGTGCACTCAGGTACCACGGAGTGCAGCACATGCACACCAAGAGGTGGGCACATCCCTTACTGACAGGGAGAGGTGGCTGCCACTAGCAGAGTGGATGGACACGTTGGGAAATGCTCATGCAGTAGCACCTGCAGCCACGCACAGCAGTGTGGATGTAGGTCATTTCATGGCTGACCATAGAACCCAGGCACAGAGCAGTGCATACTTGATGGCTCTTTGCAAGTTCAGAAAAATGGCCAAACAGTAATGGTGGGGGTGGCGGGAAGGTAGATGTTAAAACCAAAAAAGGCAGGAAATGAAAACCGTCAAAGAAAGAATAGGGGCACCCTTGTGGGGGAGAGGGGTGTAAGGAAGGAGCCAAGGGCCTCTGGAATGCCAGCTCTTTTCTTTTTTGGCCGAGGTGTACTCACACAGAATGTGTAAGGGTGTGTTGCTCTGTGCATTTCTGCTATGGGCACTGAGTKTGTGTGTGTGTGTGTGTGTGTGTGTGTGTGTGTGTGTGTGTCTTAAAATAAGTTTTTAAAAATATCTCATAAAACTGGTTCCTATCTTGTATTTTAGAAAAGCTCTAACCATTTTTTGAAAACAGCTAATGGTCAAAATTTACAGGGTGTGTTTATAGTCACTGTGTTTATCTTGGTAGCCTTGGAAAAGGCATGTGACCAAATCTGTTTGCTCTCAAAAGACTTGGTTTCGTGAGGACTGCTCGGCAGTGGTGCAGGTCACACACTGAAGTTACRTGGAGGTGTGCAGGCACCTGGCCCCTGATGCAGGAGAATGGAACGGAGGAAGAGGAGGATGACCAGTGAACTGAGCCGGCACGGGAATCTGGAAGACCACCGACTCTGCTGTGCATCTGACTTTGTGATGCTGTTTTCTTTTGCAGGAATGGAAAACTGGGAAGAGGAAGGCTGAGAAAGACGAGCTGGTGGGAGTCATGATATTTTCCACCATGGAACCAGAGGCGCCTGACTTGGACTTAACAGAGATGTAAGAGACGCTGACAGCTGCTCTCAGCGCAGTCATCTGYAGCTGCCTGGTGGCGTGCAGTCTTGGCCACGGTGTTTGTGCTGGAGCTGAAGGGAGCTTATGACGCCAGCAGGGTTCCTGGTCAGAACTCAGGAACTCACCGTGTTTGGAAGGAAATGCCATGTTTCTGCCATAAGTTTAGATTAAGCTCTGATTTTTTTTACCTTGAAGTCAGTGATTTCATAGTTGACACAGTCTTAGTCAGTTCCAGTAAAGTATGATGAGACCAAGTGGCCCAGAGCCACTAGTACCCACTCAGAAGCCAACAAGCCGAAATCCTGAGCCCCACTTTGAAGGACACAGTCTCTAACCTGGCTTTTCTGTTTTTTCCATCTGTTTTGCATTGGGTCATCTTTTTTTAAAACAGACCAGCTGAATTTTGAAGTACTTCCTTTTCTGTATAAGGACTAKTAAGCAATCTTGAGATGTTTAAATTTTAAGATTTTTTTTCTTTTGCTTATATATTACTAAAAATGTGGACAAGAAAAAAATGAATGTTCATATGTTGGTATTATAGTTTTCAAAACTCTATATATCAAACTACTGAGAATTATTTTTTAAATAGAAATAATCTGTTATACATTTTTTTAATTAGTGTTTTTGTTTGTTTGTTTTTGCAGCACTAAAGATTGAACCCAGAGTTTCACACGTGCTAGGCAAGCACTGAACCACTGAGTTACATCCCCAGCCCTTAATCATTCTTATTTTATGTCATTTTATGTTATTTTGTTATTTTATTTTATGTTATTTTATTTTTGTGCTCTGGGGATGGAACTCAGGGTGTCACACGTGCTAAGCTGTGCTCTGCCACTAAGCTATACTCCCAGCCCTTCCATCTGTTTTATGAACTGCTTTTTTCATTCGGCAGTATACTGTGGTCTTTGTAGGTTAGTAGATAAGCTTTTTACACCCTTCAAAAGCTTGAGTCTTAGGCAAGGCTACCTGGTGTGTACTCAGATTTTCATCTGTTTGTTAAAGTACTCAGTGGAATGAATTTAGCAATAACTACCATTAGAAACCACAGGATTTCCTTGCATAAAATACTCAAGAGGTAATTTTACTTTAGAATTTCAATTTTAGTTAAAATTCTTTCTTTGAGGAAAGAAAGCAAAGCTAAAATGTAAGTGGCAGATTTTTAAGTCATATTTTAAAAATCTGAGCCTCTTTTGTTTAAGACTTGTTGAGTTATAGGGCAGTTGCTGCCGTGCAGGAAAACAAGGGCTGGGTTAGGTTGGTCTGTGTCTCCCACACCACTGGTGTCCTTCCCATTGACCACAGAGAACAGACGTGTGACGCGGTGGGGAAGTTCACCAAGGCCATGGACGATGGCGTGAAGGAGCTGCTGACCGTGGGCCAGGAGCACTGGAAGCGCTGCACCGGGCGTAAGTGCCACCGCGTGGCTCAGCTTTGTGAACACTCTTCCTGGGGAGCCTTCCCCACACAGAGGCCACTCCTGTGGACCCAGTGTGTCACTCCCAAGGCCCTTGRCCTGACCTCACTCCTCCACCCCTTTAAACAGCAGAAAGCCAGCCCCAACAGAGCCAGTCCAAGAAGTCCCACCAGGAATACCTGTTAGATTACATAGTTCCAGCTGCTGGGGTTTTTTGTTTTTGCTTGTTTGTTTTTTCTTTGGTACTGGAAACTGAACCCAGGGGTATTTTACCACTGAACTACATCCTCAGTCCTCCAACTTGAGATTCTCCTGCCTCAGCCTCCCAAGTCCTGAGACTAAAGGCATGTACCATCACACCCAGTGGTAAGATGTGATGTATTTGACTAAAGCCACAATTCTTAGGAAAGCCAGTATCGTTGCTAGGACAGACAGTCTGGGTGCTAGGGAGATGTGGCACATTAGCCATGGCTCCACCTACCTTCCTGGCTGTGGGAGCCTCTTCCTCCTGGGACTTTGGTGGGAACTGTCACCTAGCGGGGCCATTTTCCTACATCCAGAATTCTGCAGCTCTTTGGTCAAAGCCTGACAAATAYAGTCAGGTTTCCAGGGACGCTCTTYTCTAAAATATAAATAAAGGAATTCAGTTTTGTTTTGTTTTTAAGATACTCAACCTTATCACTGTTCAGGAAAACAAAAATTAAAAACATGATGAAATATAATTGTACATCTTCCAGTTTGTCCCATTTTGCAAAGGAAAAAAAAAAACATACTCTGTATTTTTAACATTGTAAAGCAGTGGGAACATTTATCCTTCTATGATAGGGATACAGGAGGAATAATAATTTTGGGAAACAGTTTGACGTGATGTAGTAAATTCAAGATGCTAGTGTGTTGAAATTGGAAATTCCACTTCTTCCCAGTCAAGATAAGTTTTCACATAGGCATAAAGAGAGAKATACACAAATGTTTGCAGCAGCATTGTTTGTATCAGTTAAATTATATTAAATAACTGAAACTGAACACTTTTAATCTGCAGAACTAATTTCACATGGTTCCAGGTTAAAAAAAAAAACTGATTTCACATGGTTCCAGGTAAAAACTGGAAACAACAGTTCATTTATGATATATTCCAATGATACAGTGTCCTGTGAACCACAGCTGCTCTGTTTATCAACATAGAAGAATCTCACAAAGCAAAACAAACAAAACAAGCCATGGAATACTCACAGTACGTTGGAATTCACATATTATCAGAACATGTCAAAGTAAGCCATATATTTTTTAGGTATGTATGAATTAGGAAAAAAAAACAAATGAAAGACAAGCAAAAATTCATGGTCAGAAGGACATTGAGTTGGGAAGGACAACACAAATTGCTCTTAAAAGTCATTGGTAATATTCTGTTTTTTAAAACTGAGTAGGTGGCCTAGATGCATTTTAGGAAATCAGTTTTTAAAGTAATAGATTTGTTTAGCTATTAGAAGGTCATCAAAACAAACCACTTAAATCTATGTGCCCTTTGAAAACTTTTTTTTTTTAATTTTTCAATATTTATTTTTTAGTTTTCAGCAGACACAACATCTTTGTTTGTATGTGGTGCTGAGGATCGAACCCGGGCCGCATGCATGCCAGGCGAGCGCGCTACCGCTTGAGCCACATCCCCAGCCCTGAAAACTTTTTTTTAAGTGAATGCAGATGTTAAATTTTTAAGAATATCAGACAAATCTGGGATTGTGGTTTCTTTTAGAGAATTAAATTCTTTACGTTTGCTGGCTGGTCAGCTCCAAGCCCTGTTAGGCCATAGGAAGAGATGTGTGAAACTGGAGATACTGGCTTTAACATGAAACCCCCGTGGGGTCAAGCACCTGGCAGTGTCTTTGAGCCCAGAGAGAGGCAGAAGCACCAAGGTGAACCGGTTCTTAAGGTTGACTGAGCTAACATAGTTTTGGTCCGAGTGTCCTAATAACCTACCGCTCAAACAGGTTCCCTCAAAGGCCATAGGCRCATGCGAGGGGACAGAGCAGCCTACGACACGGAGACTTTTTTGGAGATGCTCTGGAAAGATCCTCAAATCCTAGTGTCTCCCAGCTTAAGGAGGAGGCGTAGGACCAGTTGGTGAGGAGACAGCTCCCCGTCCCCAGTCCCATGATTCTGACTGCCTTGTTCTGCCACACTTCCTCCTCTCAGTTGTTGTGTGGTTGGTTATTGGTCTGCATGTAGCCTTGGGCTCATCAATTAGGTTTTCTGTACCTTATTTTCCTTCACATGGGGACATCTCTACCCCTGGTGGGGGTTCTTGTGACAACTCAGTTCAGTGCTGCATGTAAAGGTGCTTTGCAAACCAGAAGTCATTCAGGTGAGCTTGGTTTCACTGTGTTTCATTCAGTGGATGAGAAAGTGRGGTGGTTGGTAATAATAGCATCCACTCTTAATTGAACATGAATTAAACATAAATAAATAACAAGTTGAGCACCATGGTGCATGCCTGTTAACCCAGCAACTCAGGAGACTGAGGCAGGAGGGTCCCAAGTTGTCCAGCCTGGCCAACTCAGTGGGGCCTTTTTAAAATTTAAAAAGGGCTGGGGCTTTAGCTCATGGTAGAGTGCTTGCCTAACATGTATCAGTGCTTTATTAAAGAATATAGACTGTTTTGAATCATATCAAATGTCTTTTGTTATAAAATAATTACTATTAGAAAAAAGTGAACCCCATTTCCATTTACTTGGAGGACTAGTTAACAATTGATTCTTTCATTCTCCTTCAGCATTACCCAAGGAATATCAGAAGATAGGAAAAGCCTTGCAGAGTTTAGCAACAGTGTTTAGTTCCAGCGGTTATCAAGGTACATCTTTATTTATTTATTTTGTATTTTTTTAATCGATACATAATAATTGTACCCACCTATGGAATACAGTGTGGTGACTCGTTACCTGTACGCAGTGTACTCAGTGTGCAATGTGAAGCCGGGGCAGCTAGCCTTTCCACCTTTATCATTTCTTATGTTTGGAGCCCGTGCTGCTCTCTTGAGTTCTGCATAAAATATGTAATAGGATGTTGTGTACTGGGGTTGCCTGCTGTGCTGTGGAACTCTAGAACCTGTTCCTCTTGGGGTTTCACTTCCTGTTACCCAGCCTCCTATCCCCATCATCCCTGACCCCTAGCGACCCCAGTTCTGCTGTCTTCCACTTTGAGATCAGCTCTTTCGGCTTCCGCAATTGAGAGAAAACCCTCTTTCAGGGTCTTATCCAGACCTGTCAAACCTCAGGATCTGGCAGGCAGTCAGCAGTGTTGCAGTGAGCACTGCTGTCTCTGATGTCCACTTGGCCACRCCACATGCACAGGCTTGTGCAGCCTCACCTCCTGGCTCTGGAGAAGAGTGAGGGGCTGTTACACTGGTGTTTTCTTGCCAGCTTGGCTCCCTGACTTTGCTGTCAGGTGTAGCTCCTTCACTTAATGTGACAGGTAACTGCGGCAGACAGCAGTCTACCCTTACTGCCTCTCTGTGCCAGACCTCGTCAAGGCTTCCTGTTGAAAAAGCCAGGTTTCATCAGGGCCTTTCAAGGAACCATATTTAAGTAATAAATCTGTTGCCTTGTATCTCTTCATAATCGTTTTCAGCTTCTCCTGCACAGATATGTGCTGCCTGTGGCAGGTGGAGTCCTTGCCCTCATACCTTGGCAGCACTTGTGAGTTTCCTTTATAAAACGGAAAAAGCATTGGTCAGCTAGGGCACCTATTGAATTTGAGTGTCTCCTCTCGCCACGTGGGAAACTCAATGTTAGAATTGGTACCTCCCCAGGAAGCTAATCCGATACTAGACAGGACAGGGCTTTGGATGTCATTTGCTAAATGTTTGCAGAAACAAGAAATGGGTCTGTCATCAAAATATAAGATTGAGGGTTCCCACATATGAGTAGTTCTTGTTGGCCTCACTTCTCCATCTTATAATCGGCACTTAGACTGGAAGGAGCCTCAGGTCCAGTTAGCCTCAATGAGAAGCCTATGAGAAAAGTGCCTTGGCCTAGTTGACCAGTGGCCAGTGGAGGCACYAAGACCAGAACCGGGAGTGGGGTGGTTCCTGGGCAGATGTACAGGCACCCTGTTACCTTTGAGGTGCTGCAGTGTGGAACTAGGTGGGAGCCGTCTGCGATGCTGGAAGTCACTTGTTGGTCCCCATGGAATCCTGTGTCAGAACTTCTGAGGCCTAGAATGGACAAGCTCACCTCTTTCAGAATGTGGCTTGTTTGGATTTCATCATTCCTGCCATGCATCAGTGACTAAGGAAAAGCAGGACTTTTTTCCTTTGGTGTCTTTTTACCATGGTGAGATTGGCAGTCCCTTGCTGTCATCCATGCCCTAACTGGTAGTGGAAGCCTAACAGTTCTCCTAGGTGTGAATTCAGAGTTTGTTTTGGGCCAGGTTATACAATACATGTACCCAGATTTTGGATCTCTAGTCATTTGAAGTCACATAGAAAACTTAAAAACCATTCAGAACAATCATAGGGTTTTCAAATAGCAGTTGGCTGTTCCCTCCTCCCTGATTCTGGAGGAGATGAGAATATCACTCATTGTTCATTGGTATGACAGTAGTAATAGAGGTGCAGATAACTGACCAAAAGTTTTTGAAAGAGGGGGAAGAGAAGACGGTAAACTAGAAAGTGATTTCTAAAGAAGTTCCTTGATGACGTTATACTGCAAATAACTCATTCTCTTAAAAATATGCTGGAACCCACTGTATTTTTCTTGAGACAGATCAGGTTYTCTGGAGCCTTACTATCTCTATAATTTTAACCTGAACCAACATAGAAGAAAGAAAATGTAGTTAACCAGAAGGAGAAAGGAGRACTGGAAGGTGCAGGTGGGAGGAGGGCTGAGGCCACCTCCAGGTAGTGAAGGTGGGCAGTAGGAGGGGGCGTCAGGCACTGYCACTGTCCAGGTGCTCATCTCTTGAATGCCCCAGAATGAGCTGCACAATGATTCCTCCATATTTTCTGTACTGTCCTTGTCACGTTATCTAATAACACATTGTTAGATAGTCATTCTGCAAATGGCATTTTCAAGTATTAAAAAGTACTCAATATGTTTTATATTGAATGTCATTTAATTTACTAGTTACTATTTTTAAAGAACTGTTCAAGTTCCTCCTGACAAACTTCTTTCATCTCAAAGGACAGTGAAGGTCAGTAGTGCCGAGCGTGGTGTCCTGGAGCAGCACTGCGCCATGTGCTCTTGTGATTACCGTCTCTGCAGCCCATTCCTAAGGAGGCCTCTGGCTACAGCAGACACGCTCACCCTGCTCTCTCAGCAGTKCGTGTGGTCGACTGACCTGTGAAATAGTCCATATTCATTGAATTATCATATGGAAATGTAATCAATAAAAAATTATAAATGATTATCTGTGGAAGAGGAGAATGACAGATACAGAAGCAAAGCTCTGATGATAACTCCTTTTGTAGATTTGACTTTGAAAAAACATGACTGTTTAACACAATTATTAGAAAACCAATTTAAATCAAAATAAAAAAGAAATCTCTTAGAGTCAAAAACAAAACATGTGGGCAGGGGTTAYAGCTCAGAGGTACAGCGCTCACCTAGCATGCATGAGGCACTGGGTTCGATCCTCAGCACCACATTAAAAAAATAAAGATATTGTGTCCACCTGTAACTAAAAAAAGAAAGAAAGAAAAAAACACGTGACCTGGTTCATTGAGGTGAAAGCAGTGACTGTGCGACCTACAGAAGATGCCTAAGGTCTTAAAGACTGCAAAAGGATTAGTTACTTTTGCTAATCCACTAATAAGCAATAGGATATTGGTATTATTATTATAAAACTTCTAAAGGTATATTTACATAGTGTAGGGCAAGCCAGATATCTGATTGTTATTGTTATTAGCAACTAAGATTTTTAAAATAAAAATCAAAGTTTAAAGCAAAGTTAAAAAAAACTCTTGAGTTCTAATTTGAATTGGAAATATTACTATGAGCTCATGATGTATTTTCCATCTTTTGAAGAACACAGTTTTCCCTGCTATTCACTTAAAAGGCCTTTCTTTGATCACCAAAAAATTGATAAAGGAAAGTTAACAGAAGTAATAAAGAATGAATAATTAGGGGATCGGATTGTGGCTCAGCAGTGGAGCGCATGCCTAGCACCTTTGAGACCCAGGTTCGATCCTCAGCACCACATAAAAATAAAGGCATTGTGTTGTGTTCATCTACACCTAAAATATAAATATTAAAAAAAAAGAATGGGGGCTGGGGTTGTGGCTCAGCGGTAGAGCACTCGTCTAGCACGTGCAAGGCCCTGGGTTCGATCCTCAGCACCACATAAAAATAAATAAATAAAATAAAGGTATTATGTCCAACTACTTCTAAAAAATAAAATGCTAAAAAAAAGAATGAATAATTAAATAGAAGAGCACCATTTTGTAAATCCATACTAAAGTAAAAGACATAGACAACGACATTTGTGGCCTCCAACGTTGTGAACACTAGAAATAACTGGAAAACGTGAATCTAAATCTAAATCTGGTCAAGCCTCCAGACCTTATGGCCAGTGTGAAGTGGAGGCAGGAACAGGAACCTGTTAAGTGTCACTGCAGAGATGCAGTCAGCAGCACCCAGGTGTGGGACCCGTGATCCTCAGCACCCCGTGAAAAGAACTTTGCAAGGAATAAAAGGGGGGCGGGAAGAAGAGGCCTCCATGACAAACATAGGCCTGTCTTCCGCATCTTCTTTGCATCCTGGTTCAAAAGCCAGCTTGCCCTGAGCTGCCTGGAGCACCCACTGGAGGGTCACGCCTGTCAGAGTGATGGTCTTTTCTTCATGTGCGGTGGAGTGCAGTGGTATTGTCCTATTTTTCAAAGGGTCCTTATCTTTTAGGTACAGTTTCCAGGTGGATTGTGTGACAGGAGTGGAGAGTGTACATAGGAAATGTTGGCCTTAAGCTTCAGTTGGGAAGCTGGGCGCTGGTGCTAAGGAATCACAAGATTGATCTTGCTTGTGTTTGGTATTTCCTACATACAGTTTTCCCTGCTATTCACTTTTGCGAGTGTTTGGTATTTCCTACATTAAAATTTACCAATAAAATTTTGGAGAAAATCAAAAGTAAATATGTATAACTTCCAGTCACTATAATTCTTTTCAGGTGAAGCAGATCTCAATGACGCAATAACAGAAGCAGGAAAGACTTACGAGGAGATCGCCAGTCTTGTGGCAGAACAGGTACTGAATGATCACATGATCCCAGGGAGGAGTTTTTTGCTTTCTAATGCACAGATTTAAGACTTATTGTACGGCAAATCCAAATAGCCTTTTCTTTTCTGCTTTTAAGTGTCTTTGTTAACTGTAGGGGATGGGGCTTCTGTTTGTTCTGCAATGCTGGGGCCAGAAATCCAGGGCCTTGCATGAGCTAGCCAAGTGTTTCCACTGAGCGACATCTCCAGCCCACTGACACAGTGTTTCTTAGGTTAAGCCAAAGTGGATAGACAAAATGTGTCATCCAAAAATCTAAAGGAAGTTGGGATCAGTGGTAGATCATCTGTTTAGCATGTGTGAGGCCCTGGATTCTGTCCTGAGCACGCACACACACACAAAAAAAAAAATCTAAATGAATGCCTTCCAGTATTGATAGCTCTGAGCCGTGCTTGGCCTTCGAAGGATGGTGGCATATGGGAGAGAGCACTGGCTCAGCGCTGCCAGGACTCTTACCTAGACTTGCTGTGTCTTGGTCTCCTCATGTGTTAAAGGGCCTTGGTAGTGCCTACCTTCTGTGGTTCTGAGGATTTCATAGCTAATATATTTCTTTTTAAATATTTTTTAGTTGTTGATGTACCTTTATTTTTTATTTATTTATATGTGGTGCTGAGGATCAAACCCAGTGCCTCATACATGCTAGGCAAGTGCTCTGCCCCTCAGCCACAGCCCCCGTTCCTCATAGCTAATATATCTTAAACAGCACTTGCCACAGTCCCCAATTTCCTTTTTCTTTTAACAGATAACAGTTTTTAAGGGGAATAATCATATAAATTGTTTCACATCTCTGATTTTTAAAAAAAATTCAGATGGCTCTTGAAATATACTTATGCCACATATACACACACGCACATACACACACGCGCATACACACTGAAGCAGTCAGTCAGTAGCTCTTTTGCTAATACTCATAAAAATATCAAGTTTAAATTGTAAGTAACATAGCTATTAAAAATTACCATTAGGTCAACCATGGTGGTGCAGCACCTGCAATCCCAGCCACTTGGGGCCTGAGGTGGGAGGATGGTAAGTTCAAGGGCAGTCTGAGTAATTTAGCAAGGGAAAAAAGCGGAGCAGGGAGAAGAGCCTTAGATGACAAACAGGGCACCTGTCTTCCACGAGGGCCTTCTTTGCTTCCTGGTTCAAAAGCCAGCATGCTCTGAGCTGCCCAGGACCACCCCCTGGTGGGTCACACATGTCAGAGCAATTTTCTTTCTTAGGTGTGCAGTAGTATCCTTCCTTTCTTTTAAAGGATCCTTATCTTTAAAGTTGGTGGGTGAGCTGCTGGGTGAGCTAGGGGTGTAGCTCAGTGGCGGAGCACTTGGCTGGCATGCACAGGCCCTGGGTAGAATACTCAGTACGGGGGGAGTGGGGGAGTATATCTATACACTCATATATATGAATTAAAAAAATATAGAATCACTTAAAAATTGCCACTTAAGAAKATTACCAGKTTTTTAAATAATATTTGTATATTTTCTGCAAAAAAAATAAAGATATTAAACTATAGCAATTTATTTGTCTGCATATAAAACATACAGTTTTTTTGTTTTGCATTTTTCCCTCGGTACTGGGGATTGGACCCAGGGTACTTTACCACTGAGTCACATCTACAGTCTTTTTTATTTTTTTTATTTTGAAACGGGGTCTCACTAAGTTGCTTAGGGGCCTGCTAAGTTGCTGAGGTTGGCCTTGAATTTGCTGTCCTAGCAAGCCCCTGAGATTACAGGGTGCACCACCACACCTGGAAAAACAAACTATTAGCTAAGAATTTTTCCCTCATAGTGTTTTATTTTGGATCACCACAAAATATCTAATTTTACAAAGCAACCTAAAAATTGTATGCTGTTTTATCCTTTACTACATGTGAGTCAGAGTGCAGTAGTTTGGGGGATTATTTTCTTTTAGGAAAAGTGGTCTGAATGCCTCACGTGCAGTGACTTGGCTATGCGTGGAGGATCTGGTTGGCATGGTCCTCATATACTAGTTTCTTTTCCGTGATTTTTTTTTTTTAATTCCTCTGCCAGTAACAACCAGCCAATCTCTTGTTACAGCCAAAGAAAGATCTCCACTTCCTCATGGAATGTAATCACGAGTATAAAGGCTTCCTTGGCTGCTTCCCGGATATCATTGGTGCTCACAAGGTAACCTGGCCACACGCACAAAGGAGAGGGCTTCGGGGGCTTCGGGCAGACACACACAGCCTGGCAATGCCATCTGACAGGGTAGTCCTTATTAATAAGAAATGCTAATCCCATCATCAAGATTTCTAAACTTGTTAACGATTCCCAACTAGAACTAAAGGTATATTTGAAAGAAAAAAAAAAGATTTCTAAACTTAAAAATTGGATTGGGTGACCTCCCTTTTTCAAAATCCACGTTACCTCAGTCATGAGAATTTTACCAGCTATGGCATGTAGCATTCTGCTTTATGCTTTACCATTTAAATCTTGTGAAGGGGAAGCATGGGTTAATTGGCTTTTGTACAACTTCAGACAATTTAGTGTAAAACTGAGAACAATTTGCTTCTCATAGGAATTTGCCCTGGCAGGCTTGGAGTTCTAGGCATGGAGGCTGATTTGGGCAGTAGTATGGCATTTTCCCTCCCAGATAGCCATAAACAACAAGCAGGGCAGTGACACTGGAGTGAGAGACGTGTGGCAGCCTTTACAACTTCTACCATCTAAATATTAGTTTAAATTTATTCATTCCCCCTTAAAAAAATCAGAATAAAGCTAAGCTAAGCCTTGCAGTCAGCAGATGCAAGTGCCAGCTTATAAACCTTGTTTCATGGAAGAAGAGACAGACAAAGCCCCGTGTGCAGGTACTACACGGCAGCTCCCTCGGGCTTCCCAAAGCTGCTGGGAATGCCTGTTTTCCTGTTGTGCACTACTCTTGAAATGCCTGTGGCTTATAAATAATACAGAGATGGTGTGCTGTGTGGTTTTCTCTTTTGTTGTAGCATAAAAATGATAAATTTTAGCTTAGTTACATTTTTCAGGAATAGCAGTCTTTTCTCTTTCAGGGAAATTAAATTTAGATGCTTGCCTCTGTTCTTACTGGTGGATACATGTTCCCACTTGTGGCAAGTCACTTGCAGAATATGTTAACATTGTTGCATTTTTAAAAATATTTATTTGTGTATCTGTAGTTTTAGGTGGATACATTAGTTTGTTTTTATGTGGTACTGAGGATTGAACCCAGTGCCTCATGCGCGCTAGGGGAGCACTCTACCACTGAGCCACCACCCCAGCCCCAACATTGTTGCATTTTTTTAAACTAATGACTAACCCCTTTCAATTTGTCTTACCAATATCATTGCATTTTCTATTTCACAGGGAGCAATAGAAAAAGTGAAAGAAAGTGATAAGCTAGTTGCAACTAGTAAAATCACTCCACAGGACAAGCAGACCATGGTGAAGCGAGTCGGCACCATGTCTTATGCTTTGCAAGGTAAGGAGAAAGGTTATGAGTAGTTGGTGGAGGGCCATCCCGACAAAGTAGACATTCCCCTTGCTGGAGAGAACTCCAAATATAAATAGCAGTTAAATAAACAAGAGCCCCTTGCTTGCCAGATCCCATTGTTAAAGAAAAGCTGCGATATTTAATTTCTCACTAATGCCCCTCACAGTAGCTTGATTAAACCTACATGTTGTGTTACTTCTTACAGACACTGAAGGTTCTTTTTATAACCCTTAATATCATACTGCTCTATTAAATTCCAAAGCCTGGCATTTATTGGTGTATAACCTTTGCGACCCAGAACTGTGGAGGGCAGTGGGRATCCGGAGGAATCATCCTAGGCATAGTTTGGCTGGTAGTAAGTAGAAGATATTGGTTCACTTTTAGAGATGGGACCATGTGTGAACAGACAGGAGCAGCAATGGAGGCTCCTGTGTTTTGGTGCATGGTGGATGGTGGATGAGAGTGTCTGGATGGATGCRGAAGGGCGTTCGTGGTATTTAACACACAAATCAATGAAAACATCCATGTACTGGAAGGTGGTGTTTGCCTCTGACTGTGCAGCCGGTTTTTCTAGCCTCTGTGCAGGATGATGTGCCAGGAACTGCTCAGAAGCCAGCCAGATCAGGTCCAGGTTGATGATGAGTCATGACTGAGTGGAGAAACCAGGTGTAGTCATTTGAAATCTTGGGGGGGTGGAAACTAACAGCTGTCTTGGTTTGGGTTGTAGCTGAGATGAATCACTTCCACAGTAACCGGATCTATGATTACAACACCGTCATCCGCCTGTACCTGGAGCAACAAGTGCAGTTCTATGAAACAGTAAGTGGGACCCCTTTCAGTGCCTTTTGCACCCGTACCCTGAGAGGAGGGCTTGCAGGTAACTAACTTTGGCCCTATAAAGTCAATCTGTTTGTATTCTTTAATCCTAAGTAATAAACCAAAAGGGGTTAAGTTTTGAACAGGTTTTTTTTTTTTTAAACCTCTTTTAATTCCATCTGCCCTTTCCTCTTTGGGTAACATTGAGTTAAAAGGGGTTTCTTCTGAAGAAGAAGCACTGGGTGCTAGTTTTGAAGGCCCAAGAAGTCCTGACTGCACAGCTTCCCGAACCTCCTCCCAGCCTTTCTGTGCCTTTGTGCACAGGGACAGTGCTGAATGAGATGAGGTCACCCTGTTGCCAGAGACTTCATCCTCTCAGCTGGGAAATGAGACCAAAGGCAGCCTTTGTGTGTGACCCAGGTGTTCAGAGTGGACCAAAGGATTCTCTATAGGAAACCAAAAGAGCAAAACCTTAAATATTTTCATTTAGAAAATTACAATGAAAACGTAAACTCCCATGCTTCTGTAATGCTTTGGTTAGCAGAACATGGAAAAAAGCATTCTTTTCATGTAAATGGAGCTTTGACATCAGAAGACAAGTTCTGTAGTCATATTGACCGCTGGGCCCTGCCTCGTCTCTCTGCATTATGTGTGTTCAGGGACTCAGCTCACATCCAGTCATGTGTCACCTTTGTGCTCATACTGTCCAAAACGCCAGTCTCCCGTGGCAGGCTGTTGACACGGAGMTGTGCGTCACTTGCTTCCTGCTTGTCTGTGGCATGTGTGGGAATAACTGGGGTGGGCGGTGTGCCTAGAGAGAGCTCGCCAGCGCCTCCTCCTCCCAGCAAGCTGGGCCTGTGATGGCGTCACACCTTCTCCTAACGGGGGCTGCAGGTCTTTGCCTCTGGCTCCTGTGAGAACACAGCCACACTGTCAGCAGCAGCCAGCCAGGGAGGAGCAGGGCTGAGATCAGTTGAAGGAGCCGGCAAGTTTGCGGTGTTTACTTGTGAGAGTTGTAACGGTAGTGTGCTGTGACATCATCATGGGGTAATATCTCGGAATTGCTTTGTTTTTTCACCAGATTGCAGAAAAGCTGAGGCAGGCCCTCAGCCGCTTTCCGGTTATGTAGAACAGAGCGGAACATGAAGAAAACTCCGAAGTGCTTCCTTCTGACTTGGGCAATGCAGTTCAAAGTTTATTTTTTTTCTCCATCATCAGAAAAAAAGAAAGAAAACCAAAAAGAAATAAGAGTTGGAAAAGGCTGTTTTCTCTATTAACCAGCCTGAATGCACTATTATTTAGGGTTGGTCTTCTTTTGTTTATTTCTACATTCATTATTTAAACCAATGGAAATTGTCTCTATTTTTGGAAAGAACTTAAATTTATTAGGATTTTTGAATGGAGAATTAGGGGCTCCCCACTGATATTTTACATATAATCGTAATTTATACATTACCCATGATCTTCCGGTTCTTACCCAATGTCAGATAATTAATTACTAATTGCTTTCTTAAAAATATGAAATATTCCAGAATAAAAAGACACATGTTTATATATTTTTATAACTCCTTGGTCTTCTGGRGTTCCTGTCTGTTCAGGAAGATCCACACACCCTTCACTGTGCCAGTGCTTCTGTCTCAGGAGGGAGAGAGCCCAGGGCTCTGGGCACCTTGCCCTGCATGTGCTGCAGGGGTCATCTCGTGTCCCCTTGGTGGGCACAGTGGGCACACAGCAAGTGCACCTGCCTGCTGCTCTTCCGTGGAAGACAGTGCTCCCTCTGTGCCCTGCTTCCTGATCCTGGGCAAGGCGTGTTTTTGCTAGAAAGAATACAGCAGAAAGGCTGAAAGACCTTTTAAAAAGGCTTTAACCCCGGGCTGGTGGCCGTTCTGACTCCTGTGCCCAGGAGCACTGGGGGAGAGCATCCTCCAGAGCTGCCACCCTTCCCATCCTGTCCCTCCACTCGCCATCAGAGGGAAGAAGTGCTGGGATGGCCTGAGGTGCCACGAGATTGCCATGTGGACAGGAGGCCAGTCCAGGTTCTCTGAAAAGATGGAAACCAGAATTTAGTGCCTGGCCCCTCCCCACCAAATGGGAGAGTTTGGGGACTGAGATGGACGGCAGCATGCCCAGTGTGCAGGAAGGTGCTGATGAGAAGCCCAAGCGATACCTGTCTTGACTGTCCAGCCTTCCTGGTCACTGATACTTCCATTAAGGGCACCAGGCAAAAAGGTCTCGACCTGCTGACGGCTGATTAGCACCCGCAGGCCGCCCGCTCTACTGTTGCCTTACCACCTCATCTGCCACCGTCCCTGCTCTGACCCAGTGATTACAGAAACGGAAAGTCAGCAGCAAAAACAGGAGAAACCAAAGCAGTAGATGAGGACAGTAGTCACCTGAGAACCTCCCGCTCTCCAACATCACAGGTCTGTCACTGTTTATAAGTAATTCTCCCCACCTGACTTTTCCCCTATAAAATCCCATAGAACAGTGTTTATGATACAGCCATTTAATATATGTACAAACTGTAAAGAATATGTATAAATATTTTACACAAATGTAAGCATGTAGAAGCCAACGTATAAATAAATTGTTTAAAAACTGTACAGTAAATTCTCAAAGCAAATTTTTTCAAAATACTCCTTGGTGTTTTAGTGAGTGGTTTGTTTGTTTGGGGGGGCGGGGGTTGTTCTTGGTTTTTGTTCTTATTCCAGCTGCCAAAAATGTTCCGGGTAATGAAGGCTCTCTCCAGGCATAATTTCCTGTGGCATGAATCASAAGTTTAGCCTTGGGTCTGTGATCRTCCCTGGCAGCATGGGGAGCTGTGGGACACAATGTCCTCCAGGTGTCCTGAGCTCATTGGTGTGAGAAAGGGGCCAAGAAAATGGAGACTTACCCAGGAAGATGGCAGTGGCATGGGGTGTTCCCAGAGTGACAGGAAATTCAAGCCCTCGAAAGCTGACACTTGGAAGGGTCTCCTTCACAGGGCAGAGTTTTAATGTCCTGGTGTGCGTTTTCTTCTCTTAGGGGATTCTTATTTGGTTTGATTTGTAATGACTTATCTTTAGTTTTCTTAGAACTACCATCATACAGTAACGACTTTCATATATCTTGACTGTGGACAGATAGATGAGCATTTGGTGAAAGTCTGGTCTGCATGTGGGGCAGGTGACAGTGGCCTTCCCAAAGTGGCCACCCAAAAAGGTCAGCCCACTGAGTGATGGGCCGGCGTCAAGGTTGGCATGGTCCACCTGCAGGCCCTGAGTAGGAGAAGGCCTTCCCCACGCAGGAGAGGGAACAACACAAACTGCACCTGTAGGCCCCGACCCTCCGGCCAGGCTCTTGTCCCCTGTGGGCAGAGTATTCCGTTTCTTCCCTGCGGGAACAGGGAGAGCATGGGGCTAGCAGGTCCTTGTGAGGCACATGCTGAGGCAGAATGAGCGCATACCAAGCTCATGGCAGGAAAGGTGCCATGCAGATCTGCCCAGCACGGGCCACAGTGCACCTTAGCTGTGGAAGGAGACCTTCCAGCCAAGGCCACTCACCGGCTGTGTGTGACCCCTTCCTCAATACAGCTAGTCCTCGTCTTCTTCAGAGGGATCATAGAACCCACCGAAAGGCAAGGAGTCTAAAATGGGAGAGTGTATTATGAAAGTAGACTAAAATCCCTTAAAAGGAAATGGGACACTTTGTGCTGGAATTTTTGATGACATTCCAGGTGAGGTAAGCCAGTTATGAAAGGACAGCTACTGTCCCATGCCACCTACCTAAGGTATGCAGAGTGGTCAGAGTCACAGGACAGGKAAGGTGGACACCCACTGGGGAGGGAGAAACTGGGAATCCCTGTTCCATGGTGCAGAGCTTGGGTTTGCTTTAAAATGCATAAAGTGGCCTCAGAACACTGATGTTAAAACTTAACTCAGTTCCCTGTTGGGTGACACCTTTCTGAGAATCCTGTCAGATGCCCTAAATTRGCATGTCCTCCTGCTCTGGCAGGGACTGCCTGTCCTACTTCAGCCCTGTGTGGCTGTGCCCCCCCCCCCCGTCTCCTCACGTGGATACCTTCAGCTGGTCTCTCCAGGGGCCTCTGCAGTCTCGGGACACTGCCATGCTTGCTGACAGCCTGGCTCTCAGGCGCACATTCACACACCCCAGAGCCTTCACAAATGGACGGATTTCCTTTATAAAACAGGCCACGGGAGCCTGTTTGCTCCTTCTGCCATGTGAGGACCAGCAGGAGGTAGCCATCCATGAAGAACAGGCCTCACCGCACCTGGAATCCGCTGGTCCCTGGACCTTGGCTTCCCCGTCTTCAGCTCTGAGAGAGGTCGATGTTTGTTTAGAAGCCACCTGGTCATGGTGTTTTGTTATAGCAGCGTGAATGACCAAGACAGTCCCCTCTGTGTCTCTGTTTCTCCCGTATTCTGCCCTTCAAATTCTAGCCACATGGGACTCCCCACTGTGATGTGCAGTGAGACCCCCGAGCTCTGGAAGCCACATAGGAGTTCCAAATCCACCGCAGGGACCGCCTAGTTTGTTTCTCCTCCCGGTGATGAAAGTCCTGCGCTGCTTGTCCAGTGTCTGAAAGCACTTTGCACATATTGGGGTGGGTTTTTCTTTGAGGTGGGCTAGAGGGTAAACTGGCCTCTGCTACTCCATCGTGGCTGAAAGTGGAAACACTCGTTTATTTTCAAATTCCAAGGTGTTATTTCCCAGCATGCGTCAGTCTGTCCAGCAGATGTCCCCAGGGCCCACCCTGCATCACCACAAGACTTGATCTGGCCGAGGAAAGTCGTTGGGAGCCTGGGATAGCAGGTGCTGGCTCTCCAGCTCCACAGGGAGTGAGTGTCGGCATAAAAGGGCCGACAGCTGAAGCCACTGAGAGAGAAGGGGACTGGCATGAGCCAGGAACATGCTGCTCTGTGATGCGAGTTCGAGTTCATCCCCAGCAGGAGTAATCCCCTGCCAATCCTGACCAGGGGATCCCTGTTTTTTATTGAACCAGAGTGTCCTTGCATCCTGACCCTAAACGGATGTCTGAAAATGTATTGGCTTGAGGAAGCAGGGACCATGTTCCATGTGGGAAACTGGATCCTCCCGGACAGATGAGCAGAGCAGAAGAAGCAGAACAGCAACTGGGTGCAGGCACAGGCAGACCGTTCGTCTGTGTGAGACTGGATTAGTTCGACGGCCGTTCAAATGACTTCAGCTGGCTCCGTGGATGGTATGTAATTCAGAAGGGAGTATTCTTCCCTCCGCACATGTCTATACCCATGGTGGATTAGCACAAACGGTGGGCGTACCACTGCAGTGGAAGATGGACCCCTGGAGAACTAAAACGGGCCTTTGAGGAGCCATCAACACCTGATACTCTTCTGCAAAGAGTGAGCTCTGGCTTCCTAAAGTGGGGCACRTTTCTTTTAAGACCCACTTTTCAACCACCTTTAGACTTTTGACAGCAGCTTCTTCTAACTCACCTCTAACATGGAGCCCATAGAGCCTGGGGGACCAGAAGGGGAACCGGTAAGGACATAGAAGGTAGGCAAACCGGCCATGTGCACGGCGCACGTCTTCTCTGGGGAAAGGATTTGTTCCTGTCGTCAGATCCTTCAAAGCAGCGGTGCCTGGATAAAGGGTTGGAGCTACTGCGTTAAAAAGCCAGTTTCAGTGCCGCCAGACTGATCTGTCTCCAGCCACGTCTGGTTCTTTTTCCTGGAATGGCTTCCCCTTCTCTTGCCTCTTTCTGACGACACAGAACCTTGGAATGTAAAGGAGGAGGGAGGAGCAGTTCTCCATGGCAAGTCCCACTGGTGGCAGCTGAGGCCCTAGGTACCTCCGCTGGTCCACAGGGCGGGGAGGGGTCGACTCCCAGCAGAGGTTTAATGAGCACATCCGCCTATAAAGGCCAACTGAGGATGCTGCCGAGTGCCAAGCCACGTGCCTGTTCCCCTTTTGGCCAAGGGTCTCAAGGAAACCAGAGAGGTCAGGCCCCAAGAGATCAGAGGCAGGGAGTGTGGCCAGAGCCCCCTGGTGCTGCGGGAGGGTCCTCAGCTGTCAGAGCTGCAGAAATGGCTCCTGGCCTGGCACCCTGATTGCCCTGCAAAGGACACCAGTGACACGCAGGAACAATGGAGAATAAGTGCAGTTTAATAACAGTGTAATTCATTAAATTGTTATGAGTTTGGAGAACATGTAGCTGAGTTTCTAAGGCAGCACTAAGCCTTGCGCTGAAGGAACAAGAGTAAGTATCAGATGCAGCTGTGTGAGGTCATCTCACCCAAACCTGCTTGTCCCCAACCCCTTTCTCTGTCCACCTGGACTATAGAGTGGAGAAATCGCCAGGGAGCTCAGGAGGCCACATAAAACACTCTGACCAATGAGTCTCAAGTAGAATCTGAGAGCTTTTGCCTTGTTCTTGAACGGGGGCAGATACAGCTAGCTAGAGTTTCTCCCTCCCTACCGTGAATGTCAGAGCAATGCCTCAGGCTGAAGCAGCTATTTTGTAATCATGAGGCAAGAAGCCAAGGTGCTAAAGATGATCAAAAGGAAGCAAGTGTTTGCCTGGTTCCACGGAGACACTGCTTCTGGAAGGCCTGCCTTGACGCTTCCTGTTTATTTAAGATGCTGATCGTTAAGTTTTCCAAAGTACACCTGATGTGCTGGCTAAAATCTTTTAGATTTATATACATGATAGGCTATTATATGTTGCAACTTAATTGGTTTTGTCAAAAGGGAATCATCACTTTACAATTTCACTTTACTTTTCAAAACTATTTTGCTGCAGTAAAATTTAGGATTTTTTTAATGCTATTTAACACTTTCAGACATACATAAAATAAGATGTAAAATGACTCGGTGCTCAGCCTCTGCTCCCCTCCTGGGATGGGAAGCTTGCACCCCCACAAGATGGCTCTGAGCTCAGCACACCTCCCTTTGCTGGAACAGTCTTCGGGAGGCTGCACCAACGCCCCTCTGTTCTGTAACTCTGCCACTCTGGTGGCCCCGTACACGCCTCTTGATAAAACACTTCTTGGTGTTTTCATGTATAACTCTTACAACCCGATCAGACAAGGGGTGTTCTGGAGAAGATCAAGGGCAGAAAAGAAAGGCAGGCTCCCCTGAGTGGCCCCTCTTGCCCCTCTGCAGGAACCCTCAGAAGGAGGGCTGCTGGGCAGCTGTGCCCTCCACACCCCTGCCCATCTGTTCACCCAGTTTCTGTGCCAGGCCCTGAGCCCCTGCCAGGCCTCCTCAGGTGACATTGAGGGAACAGCCAGATTCCAGTCTGGAAAACTCATGCTGCCCCAGAGGCTTCCCTGACTTGGACAATGGTCTACTAATGCACGCAGAGCTTGCTGTTCTTGGCCTGTGAAAGTCACACACAAACACACACCTGGGACAGGTGTGCTCGGGGCTGTTTTTCCAGCTGTGATGCATAGTTGGGCCAAGGCCCAGTGGCAGGTTGGCAGCCCATGAGGGATCTGCATCTTGGCCCCAAAAAGAATTAAGCTCCCCTGGTCCTCAGCGTCCGCAGGCACCCACACCACCCAGTCTCCATGCCAACACACCCAACCAACAGGTCTGTCGGCTTTCAGGAGCAGACCAAGAG